CTAACATGTTATGAACAGTTAATCTGTCTGAACTTGTGATTAGCAAGAGACCATAGTTCATCGTAAGCGCTTCAGAAAACCTTGTTAACCGCAAAATACAAGCAGATAGGACAAGTCGCCTACCTACACGTTGAATGTCCTCACAAAAGACCAAAGATCAGTTTATATGATTCCAAGTCCATTTATCAGAGGATTTCTATTAAGCGGTCCTTCGGACCTCGTGGTATCAGGTATCGCTTATTGATTTTGGCTAACCAGCAATGCCTTATTACGACGTGCTCTTTTAGGTTTAAAAAAAGTAAGCGAAATCCGAGCACAACAACAATGTCAAGTACAATGTGACTGCTTTCTAGTGGGCGGCACAGGACTTGTTGCGAATTGCCAATTGGGAAGGAGGCATCAACTCAAGGGGGCAGATTAGATATGTCATGCATGAATGGAGGTTTAGCCATGTTTAATAGAGCTGCATCTTCTATTTGTACCACACACTGCTTGATTTGTTGGCTTAGATGTAATTGCACATACTCGTATACCTACGGGTATCTTACCACTTCATCTCTACGCTGCATACCTCTCCGATTTGCTTGCCATGGTTCTATCAGCAGACGCTTCGAGTAATTAAGTATCGATCAACGCGTATGATACGATGGAGGAGCGGTGCCATGATATCCATTATCTATCACTTCTACCGCTCTTCCAAATTGCCTACAACTTTTACATTACTTTGTCTTTCAAATATCAAAAATATATCCAAAAGCACTTTATAAGCCAGACTTACTGAATGTGAGGAGAAGCTTCTCGAAAGGCAATCTCCAGACGACGACGGAGCGGTTTCAAGCCTCTACTCCACTCACATTTGAAAAAGTCATCTCTACTTCCGCATCTTACAATTGACCTTCTTCTTGATCTCTCTCGATACTCCTGAGCACTTTACTCCGCCACGATCGTCCACAGCCATGCGATTGTGGAGATCATATGCCAATATATTCACCGGCACTAGAAGCCATTCACGGTACCGACCACTATCATCATTTCGATAGTAGTTTCGCAACACATAGTACCTGCAGAGGCCCACCCAATCCTTCCATCGACGAAGTTTGGGATAGTCTCACATACAAAAATGGTAAAAATACACTCGTCTCTCTTATTTTTATATTCTCAGCTAATCATGATAGGAAGCGTTGTTAATATTTACGAAGAGACCTTTATGCCGTCATTGCTTGGGCAGAATACTCGGTCAAGCTAGTACCGTAGATTAATCGTAGTTATATGGTAACTGTAGAGACTTGCATCAATTGCATTGCTTGGATATGTCGCGATAAGCATCCTTTACGGACTATTATAGGGACAAAGCGAAATCTTGAATAGATACCACACATATTGATATACCATCTTGGTGAGTTTTGCACATAGTGACCCAACCGTGGAAGAATTAGGAATGAATAGATGAAATAGACACTCCACGCATTAATTAGTTTGAATCGAAAAACCCTTTAGTTAAAGCAATTAAATCAAGTTACAGGGCTTCTTGAGTGAAAGAAATTATGCATGGGGTGGAAATACATCACTACGGTGATAAGCTTTGTCAAGAACTTGAAGCAACTTATCTATCTCAAGGACGGCATAGCTTTTAGAGAGGAGGTACTGACAAGCTACAGTTGATGTATGACGCAGACACTGGTAATGCATCATATATCTGGGCCAAAGATCATTCAGCACCTTTTCTGGAATTTAGTGAGTATGTTCCCCTTCTCTGTTGCAACATCCATTTCCAAACTAAAACCAAACGAGAGTCCAAGCATGCGCTAATCATCTTCGTTTCCTCACAGAAAGCATAAATGCCGTGCCTTCAGCGCAGTGAAGCAATGGGTTATTGATCATTAGTTATTCACTAACTGAAACTCATGATATTGGCCGCTTGCCAGGATTCAAGGAGCTCGAGAGTCCGCTCATAGAAATCCGGTCAGCATGGTCAAATATGATATGAGGGGTGGAAAGGAGGAATGAAGATTCTCTTATACTGCATTAGTGAATGCTATGTACTGTAGATAGTCAACTTGGATTACAACCACCTCTTCTATATGATGGGACTCCGATAATAGCCGTAGCCATGAGCTGTTTCTTCGATTAGATCACATTTCCATACTGTATTTTGTGATTCGATAGTGAAACTATAGATACTTTCAACCAAGTTCCATATATAACCGCTGTTCTACCACTTGGCCCCGCTTGAGGACTACTTAAACATTCAAAGCACAGCACTGCCCAGTGCCTATAACAACAATAGGTGAAATAGCCATGTAATATCAAATCATCAAGGATGTAACAATCCTCCATATGAGCTGAAGTGGTCCATTAAACCCCATCCCAAGTGGGGCAGTACCCAATCTTCACCATTTCGATATATCCTCAAATTCCACCTCGTCAGCAACAAAGATGGTGAGATGGCCGAGTTGGTCTAAGGCGCCAGGTTAAGGTTGTATATTCATACGAATAAATATTCAATCTCCTGGTCTAGTAATAGGCGTGGGTTCAAATCCCACTCTCATCAATATACCTTTTGGTTGTTTCTTTTTTTTGGTGAAAAAAAAACACTAGTATTGTGGGTAACGGGAACGACTCTTTTGCAGAAGAGTTTGATACAAGGATGCTCTCACTCTCTCCTTCGATCCAGCCAGATAGAGATCTTCACGCAGACTAAAAAAACGTTTGATAGAGCCCGCTTGCTTCACCCACAATTTCGCCAAAAAATCACCCAAACAAAAAGTGCAAAAAGTATATTTCTCACATCGGATTCAAACCGATGATACTCAGGGTAACTCCCTACGTTGGATTCGAACCAACAGCCTCAAGATTAGAAGTCTTGCGCGCTACCATTGCGCCAGCAGGGAAATCTAATGATATTGTATGATGAGCAGCGTTTAAGTCGGTATATATTGGGGATAAGATGTGTGGAGCAAGAAAGAAAAGAAGACAAAGAGAAACTTACTTAGCTTGAGCTTGCTCAAAAACAACAACTACAACGGACCCGCTCATCATTAATCCTGTTTCTAGGTTGAAAATTTACAGAAAAACTAAACAACCGAGAGATGAAGGGGTTGAGCCGAGACGACCCCACCAGCCACGCTTTCTTCAGCCCCACCAAATCCACAAGCCCCTACCATGATTCCACTTTCTACTCTCAATCCCGCACCGAGTATATAATATCAAAAACTCAATACTTCAGTATACAAATAGGCCGGATGGTGTAGTTGGTTATCACGTGTCCTTAACAATTCAAAACTGTTCGGACAAGGTCCTGGGATCGTGCCCCAGTTTGGTCATCATGTTCCACATCGTCTGATGTGAAATTGTCTTTTTGGTTTTTGGTTCGATTTTTGCCGGCGAGTACGATGCAGTCAACAGTACTTTTTTTGCTACGTACGGGACTTTTTATTATCCCTTGAGATTTCAGTACAACCCGACCGAACGGCATACCGATATCTGTGAAACCCACCCATAATTGGTGGTTCCGCTACACAGAAAAATTGGAGATGCCTGTGTTTGTATGTGGGGGGGGGCTGTGGGCCTTCGTTCCACCAAATTCACTCACTCTTTGCTTGTCAACTGGAATCCAGCTTTTTTGCATTGTCGCACGACCATCTCCGACCCTCCGCAGACCATATTCCTCCTTGGTTGATGTGGAAAAATGCAAAAGAATGAAGATGGAGAAATGGAAAGTTCCGAATAGCTTCAATTTAATATCAATACCGCTCCATTAGTCTTCGGCGGGTATTGGAGTTGGATCTTTAAAGTATAGCAACGGAATAAAGGTTCTGAAAGGCGTTTGGGTGAAGAGGGAAGAGTGTCTAAGTACTTGTAGTTGGTCTTCTTATGCTCGAGTAGTGTGACGCAGAGGTCTGAGGATATTGGTGTTTTGCTATTTGACAAGTACCGGTAGTGATTGAAGCATATCAAGAAACCTGGGAGGCCAGCCGTCGGTCGGAAAGCTTCACATCCAGATTCTATACTTAGGTCTTGGCTTGATCATTTTTCTTTCATCAATATTATTTTTAAAGTGTCTTCTGATCATTGTTTTTGCACTTTTTGGGGGGGGAGGGGGGAGCGTTTGGAATACTTGATAGTGATATGTCAAGGAAACCCAGCTCGAAATAACATCATTGGCAGAATTTACCCCAAAAAAATTGAGCTTATGAATTATTTGATGAATTGTAAAAGGGGAAGGGGAGTGCAATGAAATGGAATTCCGCGAATAAGAACAAATATTTCGGTATAATCCGCAAGAATCAAATCATATTTTAAGATTAGATAGAATGTTTTCAGATATCTTAAAACTCTACCAAAGATTTAAAATTCCGTCAAGGACATCTCATTTTTCAGTCCTCTGCTTACTTTCAAGAAGAGATTTTCCTACCTCCCATCCAGCAGAATATCAAGGCCTTTTGTACCGGTCGTTTGTAACATATTTCGATCGAGGAATGGTTATTAAATCTCAACTTTGGGCCTTTGGCGTCTGAAGTCGTCTCATCTGATAATATCAGAGTAAAAGATATCATTGCTTTCCTTTATTTTGTTCAAATATTCATTTCTCATCCGACATTTAGAACTGATAAGGATCCAATCTCAATTTTTCAGTACTAAGCTGGTGTATTAAGAATACTATTGTATATATGATATATCATATGAAATTATGAATTGTTGCGGTAAGTATATGAAGTGCGGAAGGGAGGCCGATAGTGTTGTAGCTAGAGTCCCCGAGGCTTTCACATAGAAATCTCAGAAAATTGTTGTAGGCGTACAAGAAAAGATATAAGATTGTTGATAGTTCACCGTCTCGCCAGACACTAGTAGCTTCTCGTCTGGTATCCTTCCATATAGATATCATTCTAAAGTTGAAGTAGAAAATTGATACTGTGGAAATTTGTCTTCTCTTAATTTTTCAAGGCTGTTTCTGGCCTGAGTGTCTGCTCGCAAATATCAAATCCGGACCATATATCCTATCAATGAGCAGGGCCAGTCCCACTAGAGTCAGCTCCACTGGAGAATTGCCAAAAGCTCACCGAGGATTTGGTCGGTTCAACGATGTCGAATGCCAACATTCCGAGAGCCTTGCGAATCTCCGAATATCGCCTGCGAAGTGACTGATGCGTTCCATTGAAGTTTCGAACAAGAGCCTCATTTAGAACCACTATCACTCTTAAGCCTGAAACTTGTACTGCTTTGATATTAGTATGTGATTGCTGTCAGTGACTCAGTGAGTTCCCTGCACAGGAAGTGGGGGTTGTCCTCATTACTTATTTGTATGAGAAATCCGAAGAGCACCCAGTAATCTTGAAGAACGATGTCTTCGCGCAGGGAAGAGTCAAGCAGACCCCCAACGATGCCGTGTAAGTTGTCGCCAACTCCTAATCTAGAACCCTCATGCAATGCCCTAACTTCTTCATGAATACGCTGTGAAACGTGCCCCCGATACCGATCCCTCGCGGCATAACCACTGATTGTTTGTATATCATTGCGAAATTGTTCCACAACGAAGTAGAGAAATGCCAGTTCCAATAGCGATGAACTGCGAAACAGAAATTCTATGGTCTTGGGATCGAATCTCTATATTTGAGGTTCTTGTACCATTGTAGCACACTGTCCTTTCGATGTTACAGTGCGTCAAAAGGCTGAAGGTAGATGAGGCACCATGGACTTGGAGATTTCGATAGTCTCATGATTAGTTATTAAGAGACGCACACAGCACGAAGGGGCGCTTTTGTCCTACCAAGGTCGTGCAAATACCCGCCGTGAAAGCGCAGGCTCAGACAATGCAAGTGTCCGATTGAACAGAACCTTTGGTCTGGGAATCTCTCTGTTGAATATGGGGTTGGATATATTGCGATGATGGTGTGACAAAATGCGGGGTAACAATCAAACGCTCTCGGGGTCCTCGCACAGTGAGATATAAGAAAACCGCGTTGGGGCTACACAGGTATAGTATGTAGTGACCTCATCAACTTGATGAACGGTTCGTATCAGACAACGTATCAATTGAGTGAATATTCGATATCATCATCATCATCATTAACAAAATCTTGGAAACTTTCTGAATGAAAAGCAGCAAACGCACTTGCGGCCATAACATCTCCATTGGTAAAGAACATTATGTATTCCAATACAGGGCTCCTCAAAAGGAAAGTTAAAGCGAAACAGAACAGGAATAGCAGAATCAAATATATGCATACTAAACTTACTAAATTAGTTCAGATGAAACCTATCGAACCCTGGAGATTCTGCCATGATTCTGCACAAGCAGCTCGTCACGGAACAATTTCCATTGGACCCCTGACATGAATAAAGCGTCAAATATATGCTATATTGCTATTTTGATTTGATCGTCGAAGAAAACCGTTGGTTCCAGGAATCTTGAGAGAAGAAGGTAAGATATACATAGCTACTTAGGGATGACGTTGACAATCCGTCGACGTACATATATCGGAGATTTCGTATAAGTTTGATAGTTGTCCCTGCGTACCCTGGTACTTTTGGGATCTTCAAGACTTTCCACTATTTGAATTGACAGTGCTTTGATGCATGGTATAGTAACCACATATATAATGATAACTATTGGTGGAAGTCTGCCTAATATATATATCATATATGGAAGTGGTAGCCAAGCCTGTCTGTAAGGAAAGAATGATCCTTAATAAGCACTCGGAATGGTAACTAAGAATGATCCGGCTCGCTCTATTATATGAATCAAGGGATTTGAGGTTACATAATAGAGCTAATTAGGATTCAAGCGGTTGGTTGAGAATAGTTTTCTTACCTTCTAGTTTACTTTACATGGGTGGCTTGTAAGGCTTGGGCAGGTTTTGATGGGATATTGGGGAACGTGCATGAAAACTTTCAAGAAATCAGCCCATTATATGAGATTCTCGTCAGTTATAAGTATTCAAAAAAAACTGCAAAACTGCATCCTAATACATTTCGAGGTTGATAATGCTTCCAAACCAAGTAATATTCAATGATTTTTCATCAGAGAGAAGAGCCGAGGGCATGTGCCTTTTAAAGCCCCCTTCATACTTGGGGTTTACAAACTTCTCATCAACCAATAAAACATTGGCTTTTCTACACAAACCATACACAGAGTGACAGACACGGGTCCATTGAGGAATCTCGATGACAGTTCGGGGACTCATTCGGATTTGCAAATATTGTACAGTATTGGGGTCGGTAAATACTTGTGTTGTATGCGGACGTCTAATTCCGAAACAATCCAGGCAAATCTTGAGAGCTTGGAAGCTTGATATTGATGCATAAGTACAGGTATTCTGACGAATGGTATCGATGATGCATGAATTTGTATGCATTTATGTCTACTACTATTATAGTACCACTGTACGCTCAATACTAGCCTTATTATTCTATTCCTCTCATCTATTCCATAAAGTGTTTCCTTTATTTCCATCTAATGCCCCAGTATTATAAATTAGTTCCAGTGGTGCCCAGTTGTTTCTCTATTGCCTCTCGATTATTCTCACATTTTACCTTGCCGGAGTCCCCCGCGTACGTTCAGTGAACAAAAATAGGGTCTGGATCCGGCTTCAATCCCCACAATTCATTCTAACATCATATCATACAAATCGTGATACTCGTATGATAACGAAGATGAACCGGTACTGAGGCATGAGAGTTTGGAAACGTCCTCTTACTACATGGTCATTCCGGGAATTCGACATTTTCCGATTTTTATATCGAAACTGGGAGGCTTCACCCCCTCTATGAATTACTTAAAGGTCCACACCCCAGAAGACGTCGAATATTTCTAACGCCACAACCAGATCATAAAGATATCTAATCATCGAAAAGTCGAACTATTTATTTCCATTCAAGGATTATCCTTTACATACATCAAATACCCTACTCACAATCAAATCACTTCCTTTGTTGGGCTTTGTATCATCACCAACCTCGGCAATATCTAACAAGCACACCCTCCGATATATTCTTTCAAAGCTCCAATTCCACTATAATTATTCTCCGAGGAGTAAGCTTCGACTTACCCCAATTCGAACTGATATCATCAATCTCCCCAATGGCAAGTGTGGTTTGCCAGAAGCCTGCCGTCGATTACTTCACATCGTCACGGCAGCAAACTGAAGTAAGTATACTCCTATTTCGTTTTCGAGTCTACAACGAAGACGATGTTAGTTATGACTAGAAAATTTCCCAAGTTATACGGGTTATCTGGATAGATGTCATGTGGATGAAAGTCCAACTCGCGAAGAATCCCTTCACTCATCTCCTATTATAAATAAATATTCCACTGTAGAGCATTGACTAACGACGCTTTTATAGCAGAGTAATTCCCCATTCAACTGGGATAGTGAGACTGCACTCGTCAATAACTCAGACTCCTGTGACTCTCTTCTTCCATCACCAACTTCATCCGACCCAATCTTCTCCAAACCTTCTTACATTCTCCCAAAAGAAGAGCCATTCCTAAATACCAACCGCAAATCATCCACAGGTCAAGCATTTGACTTTAGCACCTTTGAAGATTGGATGCGCTGGGACGACCCAAGTGACGCAGCTCTATCGCCCACCTCAGATCTCTTCCCAGAACTCAAGATTGAGCCTCTATCGCCTAATATGAGCGGCCTCGAACTGTCCCGCAACCTTTCAAGTATCGACGAAGCAGCCGTATTCGGTGACGATAATCTGGTCGAAACTGGAGAACAGCTCTTTCAACCCACACCCAATAATCTCATGAGCTCGCCCATTATCGACATCTCGTCTAGAGAAGGATTATACTCTACCCCTCTTTCCTGGGCACGACCTCAAATGAACTCAAATTTCAATCCCACCATCCGCCGCGCACAAACCATTCCCCAGCCTCAACAACAGCAACCCATCCTCTATAACCGCACTCTCACCCCCCAGGAAGAAATCCAACTCCGCGCTATAGCCATGCCCCAACGAACCCAGGTCCAATCTGCGTACCCTACTTCCCCAACCTCATCCAGAAGCTCCCCATCACATTCTCCGATCTCCAGACCTACACGTCAATCTATGTCAAATTCTAATCATCCCAATAATCTGAAACGCAAATCATCAGCTTGTTCTTCAGACTCGAATTCTGACGGTGAAGATGAGATACCCGCTCGTCATCCACCGATCAAGAAGACCGCTCATAACATGATCGAAAAACGATATCGAACAAATCTGAACGATAAGATTGCTCTATTGAGGGAAAGCGTACCCAGTCTGAGGGTAATGACTAGAAAGTGTTCGAGGGGACAAGAAGATGGCGATGAGCATATTGTTGGAGAAGACGAGGAGGAAGATTTACAAGGTTTAACACCAGCACATAAATTGAATAAGGTATGTTTCCAATCCACTCAATGCAGATAAACCACGAGACTAATAAACTCAACAGGCAACTGTATTATCCAAAGCAACAGAATACATCAACCACCTCGAAAAACGCAACAAATACCTCCAAAAAGAAAACTCATGCCTCAAATCACGCGTCGAAGCTTTCGAGATGTTAGTCATGTCCAGCCAAACACAGAACGGCGCACCCCAACAAACGAATGGAATGCAAAGGGGAAGATATGGATCCTGAATGTTAATGAGGAGCTCGCGGGGTACGATACTACGAGTTCAAGCCAAGAGGAGGTAATGGAAAATAATCCGATGCAAGCAAGAATTGTAAAAGAAACAAATGGTGTTTGGGGTGGTATTTTAATGAAAAATCGCAATGATGTGTATGGTATTTATTCTACAGGCGTTCATTGGGATCGAACTGATGGAAAAGGAAAGGCAAGGAAAGAAAAGGATATGGATGGATATGAGCGGAACGGCAAAAGGATACCCGGAAACAAAAATTCCAGAGAGTCCAGTAGCAAGTTAGTTCGCTGGAAGTTTTGATGAAGAAAAATCGAAATCAATCTAAAATAGGTTCTCAAGTATCTCTCTTTCTCTTTCTCTCTCTCTCTCGCAACTTTGTGATTTGCTTCGTTTCAAAAGGAGATTCTGTACCTATTTAAGTCGATATCAAAGTGTGTGAAATGAGGACTCAACTCGAGGATAGACCGGCTATCAAGATGAACTTTCATCCCAGGACTTTCCACTGGCAATCTAGATTCAACTCCCACCATCCCAACGTTCCAGCAAAAGTTGAGACACCCATATCATTCATTTGATCTTCACTCCTCACCTTCATTCCCCTTCATATCATCCCAAGTATCCCTTTCATCCGAACAGCACAGCGAACAGCACCCCAATCAATACCCGGGATCCAAATTAAGACCGACCAAAACCCAATACACCGTAATCAACTCTCCTCTCCAAACCCCAAACCCCACACTGCCACTGCCACTGCCACTCCAAAATCTTTGACAACTAACCATGCCATCCAGCCATCACTCTAGCAGCCTAGCCAGCCAGCTAGTAGCTACCGAAATACAAGACATACTATACATCTCTACCCCCTAGCCACCCCTAACCCATGGAAAGGAAGGCCCGACCCGACCCACGCACGCAGCATTAGTGTGAAGATCCCTCGGGCCCAATGCATCGCATCCGTCCATCCGCTCATCCGTATATCCGCCGCATATCTGCAATATCACATCAATTTGAACGCCACCCCTCCCAATCACGAACACAATACAAACAACTAAAGAAGCATAAGCATTACAACATACAGTACCGGTACAGTACTCTATACCTAGACACGTTGCCTAGACACGTTGCCACACTCCAAATCGGCACTCCAAACCATGCAACAACCTCAACCCAAACTACACGCATCTGGCAAACCCGGAATCTATCTTTTTAACAAAACACATATCCGAATCACGTTATCAATTCCCCATCCCATTCCCATCCCCACATTCCTTCCTAAATCCTGAGCTCTTTTCTTTGTCGGTACTGTACGTAAGACGGGATTCGCCTAAGTATTTCACATTTTCAGGAGAGAGTGGTTTCATTCATTCATTCATTCCAGTACGCATGAAACGGAGGCGCGCGCGAGAGTCGAGACTACTATTTAATACGAAGCGTGCGGTACAAGATGGGGGCCCGTCTAGGATACTGATACGGGTGATGAAAGGATTCCGTCTGTGTTATCTGTGAGGTACTGCAGTATTAGATGAGATTCAATGCGATGCGATGGGATGCGATGAGACGTTGTATGTTTATCATCCATCCCTCCATGGTTACAACTCCTTTGTATTTATTCCTCTCAGACGTTGTCGGATCCAACTTCTTCTACCGGTGATATATGTGAGTATCGACTGAGAATCATCTGATCTTCGAATCGACTTTCCATTTCGCACTCGGGACAAGGAACGGAAATGTCAACGCGCCAGGAGATGGTATTTTTCAATTTCTCAATTTTGTAATCCCAAAATGACTTGATGGGAAAACTATCTAGTATGTGATGCGTATGCATGATTAATCTTTCGCGCTCTCTTTATTCCTTCCTATGATACCCATTAAATGACCATACTGTTAGCAGTCCGACGAATCACAAACGCCTTGTATACCTGCCTTTCTCCCTTCGTTCAATAATACAAGTCGTCTCCATCGCACGATCACCCACACTTGCAGCTCAGTCTTATGACCTTTTCTTCCCCTGCTTCGCCGTCATCTTTCTAAATGCCTCCACACCACCCGCACCAATCGGTCTGGTAGATGGATCCAAGCCTCTACTTGGATCAAAGTTACTTCTAGGGGCGACCGAATAACTAGTATTAGAAGTTTCCATTCTAGCCCTGTTACTGACGATTTTTGGAGCGAGGAGACGTTGACGCTCGAGGTCACGAGCTGTGAGTGGTATTCGTTGAGAAGAAGGTATTTGTGAAGACTGAGAACCCGTGGGACGGATTGCAAGTTGTGCAGCTCTGAGGAGGACGTTAGTAGGAACATCATGTGTTGTATTTGGAGATACATACTGATGATCAAATTCTTTTGTCGCGACCTTACGTTTCTTATAATCATCACTTCGCTTCAAGATTGGTCTTGACCATTCTCCCAATAATCGTTCCGCGATTCTCTTGATTCCAATTTCTGGCCTTTTGCTCTTCGTGTAGTATAAAACGACCTTACCAATCCCACTACTTAAAAGTGCTTCCTTTTCGATTGGTAAACGTGCCAGGGCTTGAAAGAGATCACGTTGAATGTTGTATGCTGGCAGACTTCCATCATTCAATGGTTCCAAGAAGAATTTGACGGACTGCAGGAAATTGGTATCGGGGTCGACGATAGAATGTTGAATAGTATTTCTGTTAAGGAGAGCGACCACTTCTGGTAGCATTTCGAGTTTTCTGGTTGCGGGTGAATTGGCATCTCGAGCAGCATTGTCGGCCTGGCATGCTTCTTCCATTCGAAGCTTTAAAGCTGCAATCTCATCATCGAATGCTTCTTCCAAATCCTGTCATCAAGTTAGATTCTGTTTCCATCGACAGAAAACACAGACATACCACTTCATCCTTCTTTCTTCTTCTCTTGTTTGGATTCTTCAGCGCAGCATCCATTGCCTTATCCAAAGCCCTACGTCTCCTCTCATCCGGCGTAAGATTTTCATCATTTTCCGGTTCTGGTGTCGGCTTTCTTCGTTCCTTCGTTCTATCCCTTTCCTTTCTTTCACCCTCAACTCTCTTGGGCTTTCTGACCCTCTTTCCATCAATCTCCATTCCATCTGGATCCTCATCCGAGTCTCTGCGCGGTCTCTTCTTCTTATCTCGCTTTCCTTCCTTTGGTTTCTTGCCCTCGCCTTCTGCACGCTTGCGCTTGCTCGCCTTTAGCGTCTTCGCAACTTCTTCATCAATGCCGACCATGGGTCTCTCATCTAACGCAACTTTACTTGCGTCAAAATCATCAAAATTGGCTTCATCAACGTCGGAAAGATCCGATTCATTGTCGGAATCAGCTCCAGCTACTGCATTGTCCACATCATCCATATCAAGATCTGAGTTGGCCATAGGAGGTTCTGGTGCATCTCGTTCTTGTGAGGTAGGTCTATTTGTATCTCCAGCTTCGTTTCCAGCTTCTGGAAGTGGCGTGGTAGGCCTTGAATCGAGGTCGGAATCCGACATACTTGCGTGTTGTGAAAAAGTACAAAGGAGGATGGAATTATGGGTATCGAGCTTTTATTTGCTTTGAAATTTTATCCGCAGATTTATCAAAGATGAATCGCCAATATTGTATCAGTATCAGTATCGAGTTGTAGTTGTAGTTATTGTTGTTGAAGAAATGGATAGTTGTGAAGAAATTGATTGAATTGTCTGGTCGCAATTCGCGTCTTACTGAAGTTGAATGGATGAAGCTTTGTGAATTCCAGTTAGCGTCAAACTTAAAAAAAAAGAATATGGTTGCCTCAGGAGCCAGAATGTTTTGTTTACTTTCGATTTTCTAAATGCCGTACCGTACCTGACCATCTATATCTTATCACTCCATATCTTCACTTTCTGAGCTTCAAATTTTGCTTTTAATAAGTCAAAAAAATAATACAATGTATAGCAACACGACAAGAAGGACAGGTGAAGGTCCAATGGACTTTGAGTGGCAAGATAAAGGTGGCCCTATGGATCCCAAATCACCTTTCCTACAATTCACAGCTATGCAATTTGGTAATAGTGAGTACCCTCGAAGTCGCATCGTCGACCAAAAGTTACACTTATACTGATAGGATAATCAGCTTCTTCCAAACCTACAAACTCTTTCCTCGCGAAGTCATCTACACCAGCTCCAGCATTCCGAAATCCAGCATTTACTACACCCCGCAAACCATACACTCCCGATAATTTCTCCGAAGCATCAGGAATTGAATCCTCACCTGGCGAGACTGCCGACGCAGAAGATACACCTGAGTTGCCTAAAACTACCAACAAAACCATGACAACCTTCTCATCGCACGTCTCCTCACGTAAACCACTATTTGGCAAATATGGCGCAAATTATAAAGGCACTAGTCCAGGTGTTCGTCAGGATTTACGCAGAATAAAACTAGGAGGACAGCCAATAGCTAAAAAGAGAAAACGTCAACACCGAGACGAACGAGAGGATGAAGCCATGGGAATAGTGCGACATCACAGGAAGGAATCAGCATCAGATTCAGAGAGCGAGTCCGGAGACTCGAGACCCAATAGTCGATCGACTGAAGGAAACCAAGCGGGTGGTAAACCAAACTGGTTTTCTTCCTTCTTGTCCGGCATTGAATCCCGGCCCAACCTTCCCAACATCCTCTCCTACTACGCCCAACTAGCGCTTAACACATTTGTCGTCGGACTGATAATGTTCGGAGTTTACACATTCTGGACTACGATTCGAAGCGACGTTGACAAGGCATCTCAAAAGGCTACCGCGGAAGTTCTAAATGAAATGGCGAGCTGCGCAAAACAATACGCAGAAAACAGATGTGAACCCAGCATGAGATTACCGGCTCTCGAGACTGTGTGCAATAATTGGGAAACTTGTATGACTATGGACCCAAATAGTGTTGGAAGGGCTAGAATCAGTGCGAAAACATTTGCAGAGATCTTGGATAGTTTTATCCAGCCGATTAGCTATAAAGCTATGGTAAATTACCTTTCCACATCCACCCTATCTATATCCCAAGTTCCCTAAGCTAACGCTCACAAATAGATTTTCGTAGCCCTAATCCTCACCCTCTCCATCGCCGTAAACAACATGGCCTTCGGAATGTTCCGCTCCAAACCCCCCACCTTCCACCCCGAACCCCACCCCCATCCCCAAGCGCATCTTTCACATCCACAACATCCAAACTATTTCGGCCAGCCAAACCCATGGGGAATTCCACAAACCCCCCAGTCCCATTTCGGACCTTATGAACCTTATCCGACGGGAGCGGGAACGGCGCAAAGGGCATTATTCGGACAACAGAGAAACGGGTTTGGAAATGGGTTTGGGAATGGAGAGGTAGAATTCAAGGCGATTGAAAGAAGTCCGAGTAAAGGTCGGGGAAGAAGTAAGGGGAGGAGTCCGAGCAAGGGGGAAAGGCGATATCTGGAGTAACTGTATTTTGCACTCGTAGGTCGAAGCGGCAAAATTGGATGCAGGTTGGGTTACGTAGTTCTTGTTATTTTGTAAGGAGGTGGGACGGTGGGAGGAGGGACAGGCTAGGCTCAGACAAAACCTGTAACAGCACTGAAAATACATGCATGCAGTACCCAGCATCACTCAGCACACGATAGGAGTTTAGGAATTTAGGAGTTGGGAGTCATGAAAATTTAAAGTCAGTATACTGATCTAGGTGTACTAGTACGTACGAGTATAACGAACATCACAACCATTTAAATGCATCTCTCTATCCCTATCTATATGTAGGTATTCAAATCCATATCTATATCCTAATCCACTCCCATCGCACCTCATCGTATCTCATCGTATCTCGTCGCATTCAACACACTCATTCAACATACTCATTCAATATACTTACTCATACTCATTCAAAATTCTCATACTCATACACATACACATACACTATACACTATACACATACATACATCCATACACAAACACAAACCCATTGCAAAAGTATACAAAAAATCGCCAAAGTGTCATGTTTCTACTCTCACTTTACTTTACTTAACTTGATCAAGACACAGACCAAGACCAAGACCCAGTGAGATTTGGTCTTCAGAGTATAGTATAGTATTGCTCGCTGTAGGCAAGATAGAATGCTTTCACATTGTTCCCTTCTCCCATCCATCCCATCATCCCAGTCCCTTCCGTACCATACCATACCATACCATACCGTCCATTCCATTCCGTCCCTCATCTCATCTCGTCAGTAAGTCATCTCGTCACATCTCATTTAGACTTTTGTGTCGTTGCGTACTGCATGCTAATGCCTCAATGCCCCGGCCCCCACCCATCTATAGTAAAAAAAGTGAGTCCCATGAGATCACCACCACCGGCACTGATGACCCATCATCTCCACCCACCCCGTCATCTGCGTCTGCATCCCATAAAAGGGAAATCTCACGCTCTTCCCCCCAAACATCCATCCAATCTCTACCTCTTCCTAACTTCAAAGGCCCACCCCTCAATCCCTTCGCCCTTGCTCCCCACCTCCAAGCCTTCAATCTTCACCCCTTTCATACCGGCCGTGTCTTCTAACCACGGTCCGCCTGCCATCCCTCCAGCATTTGCCCTCTTCTCCGGTATTAATTCCAGCATCGGGGTCAAGAACTCCGCAACTCTTTTCGCTTCATCTTCTTTGAAATGATATTTCTCCTTCAATACATCCGATAATGCCCAATGACGTAATCGATGGATATTTCGTAGTTCACCCTTTCGATTGAAGATTTCTTGGGACCATTTGCCAGATAAGCAAAGGGATTTAGGGAAGGGTCCGAGAAGTTCGATTATTTGGGCGATGTGGTCGTCGTCTTTGCCGTATTTGGTTCCGGATTGAGGATCGAAGAGATAATCACCAGTAATAAGTTCAAAGGTCTGGAAATTAAAAAGATTAGTTATAGTACCGCGAAAAGAAGGCGAATGAATATACCATAGCAGCCATACTCCAGACATCTGTAGAGGCACCCCATTTCGAACCCAAGATGACTTCTGGCGATCGATATTGCCTAGTCTGAATATCGTTTGTAAAGTGATGTCCGGTCCAGCATGCATTTCCCAGATCGGCTATTTTGACTGATATTATATCGAATTGGTTGGCATCTTCTGCCTTCTTCTTTTCGCCCGAGTTTTTATCGAGTGATATGCCAGAGACCTTATCTGTAAGAATGTCGCTAGAATCAAATTAGAAACAGTATTCAACGACCTGAAAACAGCTACTTACGCAGTCTTTTCTCGTTGCGTGTGGTTGTCTTCATCTGCCTTTTCTTTTTGGGGCGAAGAGTTTTTGGAACGACCTATTGCACCAACCATTAGAATGTATTCCATTGGCAGGTTTTTATCAACGGAATATAAATACCATTGTTTAGCATTTCGTTTATGCTTCCGTGCGAACCTGAAGTGCTGCCAGGAAATCTTAACAGATCTGCGTGGTTGAAACTGGCGTTCAATGGACTTGGTAACGGTTGACTTCCAGTAATGAGGGTTCGCCGTCTCCTTCGGCCATTTCTGTTGTCTTCCTTGTCCTTGCCTGTATCCTCCTTGACGAATGTTTTTACTATCTGTTCCACATCTCCAATTTCTATGAGTACATTCTCCGGCTTCAAATCTGTGTGTATAATGCCGCACTCTCTGTGTAGATAGTCCAGACCCAGTAAAACTTGTTTTGTAATTTGTTTAACAAGAGGCATAGGAATTCCGCGGTGGTTCCATCTTTTGATCAAACCCAACAGATTCTCCCCAAGGACTTCAAACACCATGCAGACATGCGTGCCGTTGGGGCCTTTATGTTCGAAGGAATCCAACAGACTGACGACATGCTTCCGACCTGGGTGATCTGGCTTAGCACCAACGATCTTATTCAGTAATTTTATTTCGTCTATTGCCGTTTCTGTGTAATGCGCTGCAGACCGTACAACCTTTAAAGCAACATGTTTCTGGGTGACGTTGTCTTTGGAGAGCCACACTGTCGAGAAATGTCCCCATCCCAGCTTTCGAACAACGGTATATTTGCCGTCCTTGAAGTTTTCACCCACTGTTACTGGGTGATAACCTCCTTTGCAGTAATCTTCGGAATCCTCTTCGTCGGCAGTCGTTTCTGCGGCATCTTCTCTGGACGAAGAGGATGATGGATCGCGATTTGTTCCTCCTCCCGTAGATCTATTCCCATCATCGATTCTTGTTAGCAAATTCTGAAGCATAGAACTCATCATTTTGAATGAAATTAAGTAAACTGCAGCATTTTGCGCCGCCTTGTTGGAGATTTATATTTTGAGGCGTTGCGCTGAGTAGGAGGAGGGTTGGAGGTCAGAAAGTGGGACATTTAGGTGACTTACCCTGCACGGGCTTGAGGAGAAGCCATTTTTGAAGATTCAGAGTCTTGCTCGGTTGTAATGATTGGTTTTAACGAATCCTTCTTCCTTTTTTTCATAGCATGCGCATTTGAATTTTTGGTTATGGTTTCTTTCGCTTTAGCAATTGCAGAAGCCTTTATCCGATCTCCGTTCATTATTTGGAGAAGGGGGGGGTAATTGGTGAATTGCTTGTAGTGGGTTGATTGTTGATGAGAAAGGAAAGGATTCGGATTGAATTGGTGGATGATGAGTAGCGGGTGGTGGAGTTGTCTGAGTGGATTTGAGTGGAGGTGGGAGGGAGGGTAGATTTCAGTAGCTCACAATAGCTGAGTAGCTGAGTTATCTGAGTATCTGAGTATTTGAGTATCTGACCGGTACTGGTTATTTTTGGGAGGAGAAATTGTTGATGAAAGATCTTCTTGATTGGATTTTGCCTCTTCTCTTTAAGCACAATTGAAATGACTGAACTCGTAGGTATGGTACTGCGTAGGTACTGCTGCTGTAGATATACTAAGGAATCTGGATCTGTAAAACAATATGTAACACCAGCTATTGGGGTTCAAAATGTATCGTGAAAGTAACGTATAAATCTAGAATAGGGGTGAGTTGGAACTTGGGGGTTGAAAAGAAGAGAAGAAGGTAAAAATGGAATACACGGAGTAGAACAAGTCAAGTCAACAGCGAAGTAATAAATAAATGGCGTATATATTCTATTCAATTTCGTGTTGACATTCAATGCATCAAATAGATTATTGAAAAGGTAGAAAGAAGGCTGAGTGAAGTTAAAAAGGAGAATCAAGTCAAATCCGAGAGAGCAAAGATAGGAAGCATTTGGTTTGGTTGGTATGGTAGTTCTTGTCGTGGGGATAAGATAATAATAAGTCCCAATATTAATCACGGTATATGGTCCAATAGAAGGACGAATTCACCTATTACTAGTATACACTCGAGTACTTATTATTCATATATAGAACCATCATAGATCAAGTTGAACTCCTTCTAGAGTAGTGAAGAGTTAAAGTAATAGGGATGAAGAATGAATATCATAGAGGATGGAGGGGTAGATGGCTATAACAAATAGACCTATTAATTATTATAATATTCTGTATAAGAAGTCTATGCAGCAGCAGTATAAGTAATACATACATACACCTTATGCTCATTGCTCATTGCTCATTGTTCACCCAATATCTAATCCATTTCTCAATTCACATTTATGTACCTCAATAATTTCATATCCAATTCAAGCCCATCTATTCCACCCATTGAATCCTTCCAAATCTGTCTACTCGTATTTGCGTCATAATAGACAACTACAAGTGACTACACCATCTGATGATTAATCCTGGGCGTACCACTCACTCACTTAGTGGTATCTCTAAGGAGGGGCAAAAAATACAAGACAAATTAGACAATCCATCCATGGCCAATGTAAATGCAAATGCAAATGCCAAAACTGCATGGCCACAAATCGACTACTTAACTTCTTCCATGCTCAAATGCTAATGAACATATTGAAAAAAAAAACGTAGACTACCCGCATTTGCCGCTTCAGTTCAATACTGTACTCCGTACCGGTAGACTTCAGGATATTTTTGGTTTCAAATAGGGATATTCGGGTGGGCATTCAATATGTACCTCGACACCTCAATGTGAACCATACATTCAGAAGTTTCTCATGACTCAAATACTATTTGAAAGTTTGAGCCCACCGTCGAATGCAAAATGCAAAATGCAAAAAATGATTCTCTACATAATCATCTGTCAAACTAGCTTATATCAGCATTTGTTATTTGGTCAGATATAAGATATGGAAACCCTAGGCTTCTCAAGTGTTTTCTGTCTATCCAAGCTCACCCCTCACTCGTTGTTATACACTACAACTACTCGAGTACAAACCTTTTTCTTCTTTGGGTATAATAAATTCGATCGTTTTGTTGATGAAAACGGGATTTAGACATGTATGTGTTGACAGTATCGATTTGTTATAGTTATCATACGGTTGCGGATTCAATATGTGTCTAGACTGCTCGAGACACTTAGATCTATTTGAGGAGGATCTCTACCCTGAAAAATAAATACAGGTAGGGTATAGATACGTTCAATCAGTTTGCTATGTGTCATCTTAGCTTCAATGTCATTTTATCTTCAATTTACGCTGTTATTATCATACTCATCATGCTCATTGTCATCATCTTTATTGTCATTTGCACCATCATTGTTTGCTTCAAACACTCCAATGAATACACTAAAACACATATGTCACAGCTTAAAGTCTTGATAGCAGGATCCGGCCCCGGTGGTCTTTGCTTAATTGAAGGCCTTAATGAAGCTGGCATTGGTTTCCATATCTATGAGCGAGACAAGACGTCAGTTTACAGATTGCAAGGCTATCTATCTATCTATCATATTCATACCTGTACCGAGATGCAGATAGGTTCTGGTTACCAAGCAGATCCTTTGACTGAAGAGATTCTTCCTTATTATCAACCACACGGCCACTCCTGCAGAGCCGACTATTACGCGATATTCTCCTGACCGGTCTAGAAAACTAGGTTTCATTTTGGAAAGCACTCTCTCATTACATTGCAAATAATGTCGACACCATAGCCATCACCTTCTCCGATTCAAGCTTTGCAACTGGCACTCTCCTCGTCGGCACGAATGATATTCGCTCCCGCGTCTGAAAACAACTACTCCCACCCCATATCTCTCTCGATACAGGCGGAAGAATAATCTTCAGAAAAACTCCTATGTTTCCCGAGCACACAAATACATTCCCATCAGGCATGTCACAACATATATTCCTAATCCAAAATCCGCAACTCAAACACTACATTCCCATCTTCTACCCTCTTCTCCTCAAATCCATCTTATTCCCTGCATCATCATCCCGTCCACCTCAACCCAAATTACCCAAACTACCCAAAAATGATCGATACTGGGCAACATGCTCTCCAAATTCCAACCTCGCCAACATCTTCACCCCTGAACTCGAGAACCCCACGGCAAGCACCTTTGAAATCTCGGTCACTGTACAATATTAGTTGAATTTCTTTAAATTTGACGTGGCACGACCTACCGAATGTTCTTGAAATGGCTGCAAGGTGGCGTTTGTACAACAGGGCGGGATAGGGACAGCCATGGATTGGATTGGATTGGCTGATCAATGATCGAATGATTATGGTCTGTGGCTGTGGTTGGTTACACGGAAGTTGAGATTGCTGAGGGGAAACACTGCTCATACATTCGCCAGTTCACCTCGTCGTTTCGAATATTGAACTTGGAATCAATACAATATCTATATTTTACGACTCTAGTACACTCGAGTATATATATATTGCAGTACACATCCATTCATCCATCACAATGGTTCTCCCATTTTTTTCTCTCTCCTTCTACTTCTCATTCACACTCATACTCATACTCACCATCTTCAACCTCATATCTCCCACGCTCAGCACTCCAATCCACCAATCTTTCCCCTACCCCTCCCTCAACACCAACAACACCACCAACCTCACCCACAACCCCGGCACCTGGTACCCTCTTCCCCCCATCCCCCTCCACCCACGCCAAGAACACACCACCCTCTACCTCCCCCCTCACATCTACATCCTCGGCGGCATAATCCCCAGCACAGACCCCAACAACCCCTTCCCAACTACCACCCTCATGCAACGCTACTCCCTCCTCACCCACACCTGGTCACTCGCTTCTCCGCTCCCGCTCCCCCTAAACCACATCAACGCCGCCGTCCTAAACCAACACATCTATCTCCTCGGCGGTCTTACCCCCTCCCCCTCCAACTCCTCCACCACCTGGCTCGCCTCCCACGCCTGCTTCTCCTACTCCCCCAAAATCAACACCTGGACATCTCTCCCCCCCCTTCCCCCTGGTACCCCAATCGGTGCCGCCGCCGTCGCCTCCCACGGATCCTCCATCTATCTCGCCGGTGGCCTCAGCAGTGTTATCCTAACCAACAACACCGGTATCGAAAACACAGTCAATATTTTCACAGCCTACAACACACACACCCAAATTTTCACATCGCTCCCTGCACTGCCGGCTCCGCGCGATCATGCCGGAACGGGGTTTTACCCGTATATAGATAAGAGTAAGGGATTGATGTATGTAATAGGTGGAAGGGCGTTCGGTCATGATAATGTGGTGGATACGACATTTGTATATTCGTTTCGCACGGGGATGTGGAGCGAAAAGGCGCGGATGTTGACGGCGAGGGGAGGGGTGGCGTCGGCGGTGGTGGGGAGGTGGATTTTTGTGATAGGAGGGGAGGGGAATCCGGAGGTGGGTAGTCAAGGGGTTTTTAATCAGAATGAGGCGTATGATGTAGTGGGGGATGTGTGGAGGGTGTTTGAGGCGATGGATGTTCCGAGGGTGGGTTTCTATGGTTTTTCTTTGGTGGTGTGTGTGATGTATATTTTACTTTCAATGCTAATCCTAATATTTTTCACCTCATTAGCACGGAACGTCTGCAGTAGCCATCGGGAAAAATATATATATACCCGGCGGAGGACTCACGATAGGAGGAGACCCGACGAGTTATTTTAGTTATTTTGAGGTTCCGGATGGTTTGATGGTGTGATGGTGTGATGTTTGGGGGGAAGGGGGTATGGTATGTTCAACTATAGGATAGGAGTAAGGAAAATATATATCGTCTGTCCGATAGGTATTATGTATGGGCTATGAAGAGAAATTGAGTGGGGAAGACGTGAGAAGGGAGAAGGTAGATTACGATTACGATTAGCTAACTTAGCTTTGGGAAGATATGGAGGAGTGAGGTAATGTAATGTAATGTATTGTACTGAATGAATGGATGTATGAATGGGGGGTTGTAGTCTGTGGAAGTTTTCCAATCAAAAGTCAGCTTTCAATTTTTGGATTGGAATATTGAGTCTTTATGATATATCTATCACCCGTTACCGAGTTGGAAATGGTGAAAATTAAGTTTAAGGGGTGAAGATGATCTCCTGAGTCATTATTTATTATGTTTTATAAGATTACAACTCCCTCTTATGATATCACCAACTTATTTTCCTCCCCTCCTATCTCCTATACTCCATCTACTCGTACTACCCCTTCGCTCGCCTTAAATACAAATATACAAATATCCCAACCACAGCATCCAAACTCTTTTCAATAACCGCACTCCCTACTTCAGCCCTTTCTCTACAATCAGCCTTGTCAAATACTATACCCCGCATCCTCTAATATACCAGTTCGTGGCATCACATGCGCTGCTATCGCCTCATCATGTAATGTAATAACCTATTTGATTAGACACCTAAGTAGGAAGGAGACAGGGATGGGTGTATATACTATAGATGTGATGTTTATAAGAATAGTGACTTGAAGTTTGAAGAAGATTTGGAGAGAATAGTAGAAATGAGAGGTTGTGTGTTTCTTTGATACACTGAACCATTTCTCCTTTTGCACATCTCTACGTAAGATGCTGAATGGGACAGGTGGTATGAATTGATTTTCTAATAACATTTATTTACTCGAGTATAACGACGCTAGGGATATATTGATGCTATACTGACTGACATAAACAATGGTATACAAACAAGAGTTTCTTCATCCTAGAAACCTAAAAACGTGAATGTTCATCTCTCTCTCACTCTCGCTCTCTTGGCTTTAATTCATATCTGCGCTGCTTCATTAATCCTATAGAGTATTCGCTCAATCCAGAGCACCATCTACTTATATCCTAATATACAAACCTTTACCAAACATCGTCACTTCCTTCATGGCAGTAACTTCAACTCTCGCTTTAGCGCTAATTGTTTACTTCGAAGTCGAAATCGCTGCAATCCATTTGTCCTGCTCACTCCTATGATTCATTCTCATTAGTACACTACCTATAATCCGGACCACCCCAAAGAAATGTGAGATGATAAGGAGGGAACATACTTATCAAGATGTAACAACTGTCCAATAACCGTATTAATCAAAGTCTGCTGTATCCTTTTATCCTTCTGCTGCAAGAACTGCAGCAGAACCGTCTTCACGTAACCATCCGGCTGTCCAGCCCCGCCATCTTTCCTTCCATTAGCCGGGCTTTTCGATCTTCCAGAATCCATGCTCGATCTCGAAGATACATCATTTAATCTCGAAGTCTTCATCTGCAATGCCTTGGATTCTTTTTGTAGTTTCTCACAACGTTGATTTGCGTCCTCGAGAAGTTTTCGTACATCCGCTCGCTGTTTTTCGGCATCACGAAGTTGCTTTTCGCTACCGTCAAGGGCATCTCGAAGTTCACTCATTGCTGAGCGGACATCATTCACTTCCTGGGACGACTTTTCGGCTATGCTTTCGAGTTCATCACGGCGTCTCTTATATTCCTTCTGTGATTGCTCCAATTCATCTCGATCGTCAGTTGCTCGCTTAATATCGCGCTCGAAATCTCTAATCTTAGTCTTGAGCTCATCCACTTCTCGAGATCTACGACGAGCGTTGGTACTAGCTTCATCTTCTGCCCGATCACGCTCTTCGTTGGCAGCTTCCATGCGTTCTTTCATTTCTCGAACCTTGGCATCAGCTCGATCATCCACATCGGCCAAGAGTCTGCGCATAGTTTCTCCATCTCGAGTTCGCTCGTTTAGTAGCCTTTGGACCTCGGCGAGTTCTTCTTCAAGACTCTCTGATTGTTCTTTGGCTTCCTTCAATTGTACGCTAATCTCGGCCGTTTGATCTCTCATGCTTCCAAGTAGACCTTGTGCATTGTTGTATTGAGAACCTCTTAATTCGACCTCCTCGCGGAGCCCTTTAGTCTCGGTAGAAAGTTTTGAAACTTGTCCTTCGAGATCTCGAACACGAGTACGTAACTTACCGGCTTCTTCATGCACCTTAGATAGTTCTTCGCTAGCTTTCTCGCCCGAAGCTGCCAGTTGGATCTTTTCGGCCTCGGACTTTCGCATATCACGTTGTGCCACACGAGCTTGATCCTCGGCTCGAAGTCGACCATTCGTCTCTTGAACAACCTTTTCATTCAAAGATCGAATCTCACCGTCTCTATCAGCAGCTTGTTTCTTGAAGCTAGCAAGATCGCCCTTCAGATCCTTCTCGCGAGCTTCCAATCTTCTCAAATCAGAGGTACGTGCGTTGAACTCATCCTTGACGCTCTTCAAGTTCGTATTTTCAGTGCGTAGAGTCTTCAATTCCGGTTGAACATTCTGTAGAATTGTTTTTAGATCCGTCAGCTCCCTGTAACGTGATGTAGCCAATTGCTCAGTGGCACCAAGGTCCTTCTGCATCGTGTTTGATTTCGACTTCAAATCTTCAAACTCAGATAGAAGCTTCTTGAAGTCTTCCTCCGCATTGGCTGAAGCCGTTTTATAGGTTTCGATTTCAGACGCCAACTTGTCGACCATATTTTCAAAACCTACCTTCAATTCTTGCCACTTGGCTGAATCTGTCTTCTGAATTTCGAGTTTAGACTCCAACCTGCCAACCTTTTTTTCGAGAGCAGCCTTCTCTTCTTGCAATTTGGCCCACTCTGTAAATCGCTTCTCTTCAGCCTCAACGTTGATCTCTATTTTAGACTGTAATTTGGATTCTACTTTGGCAAGCTCTTCTTTTAGAGCGGCCTTCTCTTTCTCCATTTCATCCGAGGCTGTCTCCCCATTTTCTATACCCTTGATTCCAGCCTCCCACTCGGCAGTTTTCTCTTCAAGATAAGCTTTCTCGGCTCGAAGTTTCTTGATGTCCTCCTTAGCGGCCACGCAGTCTTGACCAACAATAAGTAAGTTTTCTTGAAGATGTTCAACCTCCTCGCGGAGATCTCCCTCAGTCTTACGCTTTTCTTGTAACTTCTCTATTTGCTCGTCTTTGCCAGCAATCTCGGTTACGAGTTTGTTAATTTCAGCTTGCAATTCATTAGTAGCAGTCCCAGAAGCAGGGGTCTTTTCGGTTGCAGCGGAGGCAGGAGTAGGTTTAACAACAACGGCATTGCCATTTTTCTTGTTCTTCTTTTTGTTTTGTTTCTTTTTACTGGACGCAGGGGCTGCTGGTAGCGATGGTGTGGTTGCTCCAGACGCATGGATGTTTTCGCTTGCTGGAGATGGCCTCTCGTGGGTTTTTATAAAATCAACCTCGTTCTCAACCTCATGAATGGATTTAGCATCGGATTGCCTTAATTCTTTAAGTTGCATGACTTGAGAGCTGAGACGCTCAATTATTTGTTCGGCTTCTTTACGGCTATCGGACTCGGACTTGAATTTTTCCCATGACGTTGTGGTTTGGTCTTTGAGCTCTGATTCTAGGATCGATAATTTCTGCCGGCTCTGCTTCTTTTCATCTTCCAAGGTCTTCTCAAGATCGGAGAGCTGTGATACCACAGTTTGCAATTTGGTCAGACTGGTGGAGTACTCCTTCGTTTGAGTTTCCAAGGTCTTCTCGAGTTCGGTGAGTTGTGTTTCAGTTGCTTGTAACTTATCACTGAGCCTTCGGATCTCGTCCTCCTGTATATCCAATTGTTCTTGACGAAACTGGGCCAGACCAGTCGCCTCATTGATGGAACCATTTAACTCGGTTGTTACTTTTTCCAAATCTTTCGCCAAGCCAGAACCTAATTCTTTAGCGGCGGAGAGATCCTTTTGCAATGAAGATACTTTTGGATTTAGCTCATTAACTTCTGCTGACTTAGCTTTGAGGTCTGTTTGTAATTTTGGCATCTCATCGTCGTAGGCGGAGAGATCCTTTTGCAATGAAGATACTTTTGAATTTAGCTCATTGATTTCTGCTGACTTAGCTTTGAGCTCTGATTGTAATTTTGGCATCTCATCGTCGTAGGAGAATAATTCCTCATTAACATCCTTGTTATTATCAAATTCAGACTTTTGCTTGGGAGAGAAAAGTCCAAGAACTGACGTAACAGGAGATTTAAGAGAAGTAGATGCGGTGTCGAGGCTGCTTGTATCTACCTTCTCTGCGGACGTCAAACTTCCGCCAATGTTAGAAGTGTTTTGCAGCGACGTGAGCTCCTCTCGGACACTAGCATTCTGTTTCTCAGACTGCTCATACTTATTTTTGTATTCGTCGCGATCCGCAGATACGCGCTTGAGTTCGTCCTTGACCAAATCCCCTTGTAATTTCATTTGATTAAGGTATTCAACCAGCGAATCAGGTTCTTGAATGGAGCTGATAGGTGTATGCTCCTTGAGGACTTTTTCGAAGGGTTCAATATTAACAACACGGGCATGTGCAGTCCGATAGGACTTGAGGAGGTCTAAGAAATCACATCAATATTCGTAGACTCAAACCAACTGAATTAAACCCACCCTGATATCGAACCTCTAACCTTTCCAGCTTTCGTATCTTGTTTCTGACTTCTGTTGGAAGCTCAGTAGAAGCTCTTGGGGTCGCATCCGTTGGCTTTTCACTACCATTGGCAGCAGGAGGACTGCCATCCGCCGGCCTATCCCCATTTCCCGCCATTGGATTAAATTTCTCTCCAGCTGGTGTTCCAACTCGAGTTGAAGCCTCAGACTCGTCTTCAATCACAAAAGCAGAATCAAAATCTGCAGGATCTGGACCTCTGCCACCTATTTCATCATCTTCCTTTGGTCGTGGTCTCCGTGGCTTTCTAGAGGGGGATTCGTTCGCAGGTCGTCTTGAGGATGATGATGTAGAAACAGATCTTTGAGTAGTAGAACTAGTTGCATTCAGTCGCGCCTGCTCTTCTGCAATGCGATTATCTATCGTGGCTTTGAGTCTCTTTGAAATTCGTCAGCCAAATTATCTGCAAGGTTGCGATCCATATTTTAAAGACCGAACCTACCTGGAACATTCTTTCCACATATGGCTATTCATGAATCATAAGATAATAATATTTGACACAAGTGAAATCGTAATGTATTTATGACCATAATCAGCATCAGTGAATTAAACAGAAACCAAAGAAAAAGGAAACATTATTGAATATACAGTTAGTTGTCAACATCTAAAACCATAATGACAGAACAGATTAGAGAGCAAGCAATAAAAGACAAAGCGAGGTCCTTCACTCATGTACGTACTCCTCACAAACAAGTATTCAAAACTGAGCCCTTCTTATAAGAGGCCCCGTATGGGCTATAAACGTACCTCAATACGAGCGAGTACCGGTACCTCCGTACAGCAAGCAGTACACTAACTCCAATAAGTGTGTGATAATGCTTGTAATACTTTAGTGCCTTTAGTGTCTTTAGTGACTTTTTAGTGCTTCTAAATGGCTTCTAATGCCCGTAATAATTAAACATCAGTGTGTATGTTCAGGGTGTCACGGCCTGGCGCGTTGCTCGGCGGGTTCCATAAGTTCCATAAGTTTCCTATTTCTATCGTTTCTACCCCTTGAAGTTCCAAATATTAGTCTGTGCACAATCCATAATCCATCATTATATGTTTATATAAGAAAACTATAATAAACTAGGTTTACACTATCCAATCACTGAAATTACGAAATTACCCATATCAAATAAGGAGTCAGCCTGTTAGCTTATTTATAGCCAGCTTATTAGCTATAGAACTAACTACCTATAACTCTGCAAGTGACGAAATCATTATATTACAAAGTACATTCATTCATTACCTTGGAATTGATCCTCTCCCACCAAGAAGTGTTTGATCCCTTTATTTACTACAGTTTCTACACTTTCTACACTTTCTACATTATCTACAAGTATTGGCATAAGCTCAAACATGAGGAGGTGACCGGACCTACTACCTACCACCAAATCCTAAGTTTAACTTCAAGATGGTTTCATTTTGGCCCTGGAAGGTATGTGAAGCTTCACTTTAATATGTGCCATTCAGGGCGTTCGTTCACTGACTGACTGGATATTGTTCTGATTCATAGCGTGAGGATAATTCTCCTGCCTCTTTTGAGAAGACATTATCCGCTTTGGCAGAGAAGATTTTGAGATCACAGTCAAAGTTGGATTCTCGCAGACTTCGTGGCAGACGTGTGAAAGCATTATGGACATTATATTCGAGCTTTGCGTACTTGGTCGTGTTCGTTATAGCTCTTCTAGTCATCGGTTGGAAGAATTTGACAGTCTTGGAGTATATTGGTCTTGCGGGAAGTCCGTTAATGTTAGTATTCTCAAAAAAACGTTTCATTGTTTCATTTGGATCTCATACTAATGTCTTTGTAGAATCTATCTCATTCGAAGTGGTATCACAAAATATTATGAATATAGGGTCGAATCAATCGCGCATCGTCTGGAGGAACAACAAGTCGAAAGGATCAAAACTATTGACAAATTGAAGGCTGCCACGAGATATAACTCCACACAAGAACTGTTAGAGAAATATGGTGGCGCTCCACCGAAACCTGCTGCACCGAAGAGAACTCCCTCGGTCAAGAAGACTCCCAAGAACAAAGATGCGCAACCCCAACGAACAGGCATGGGCCCACCTGCAACAGCAAATATACCCCGCCCTAACCAAATTCCGAGTCAACCTTCCACCCCTCAACCACTTGGTAGCAGGACCCCACCTTCTTTTATTGTTCCATCCCCATCGCCTATTGCTCCCCGAAGTGAGGTAGACCCTGCTGAATTCGCACCAAACGCATTTTCGGGCCCTTCTCAATATGCACAAGGTCAGTATGCCCAGAATGGAGAGTTTGTCCCTGAAGGACACTGGTACGATCGAGTATTAGACTTATTACTGGGTGAGGATGAGACGCATCCCAAGAATCGCGTGGCGTTGATATGCAAAAGTTGTCGACTTGTTAATGGTCAAGCACCGCCTGGTACAAAAACTTTAGCAGATTTGGGGAAGTGGAGATGCTTTGGCTGTCGAACCTTGAACGGGGAAGAAGATGAAGCTGCAAAGGCCGTAAAAGAAATGAAGGAAAGAATTCAGGACACGAACGTAAAAGATGAAGTCACTTCCGAACCTGAAGAAAGGAGTACGGAGGATCCCGAGGATACACCAGACAGTGAGGATATTGAGCACAATGAACTCTCTGTCAAGGATGAAGAGGAGTCGGAAGAAGAAAAGGTTGAGGTTAAACCGAAACCAGGACGGCCCAAATCAATCCGCAAGAAAGCATAGATTATGATTACTGATCTTTATCTCACAACGAGCTTTCCTATTAGCTGATGCACTATTCTCCTTATGTATTAAATTTAGCAGATGACAGTTACTCATCCCAAACTTATTATCAAAGTATCCTTGGCCAATCGGCACCACCATGATCAATGGGGTATATGGTCAGTCCATGATTTCGTCTGTCTTGCAACGTCCTTCATCCTGAATACCTCGAATTTTTCTTTCGTCCGGGTTCGAATTCTTCTCCTCTCACTTACATCCTTCCACCCGATGACGTACCTGACGACGAAAATCCCTTACGACCAGCGAACGAATATTGAAATTTCGGAACGTAAGGGCGAATTGTAGGCTCAAACTCAAATGAATCCATCAGAGCATTATCCTCATCCGTCTCCCTCTTCTCCCTCTCCTCTCTAGCCCTCCACTCCCTCGCGAATCTCTCCCGCTGTACCTGTTCTTCTGCTGTCAATGGGGCTTTATATGCTCCGCTATTTTCCATATACTGAGGCGAATAAGTAGGAGAAGCATGAGCCCCCGGTTGTTCATTCACAGTCCTCGTCTTCCCAGCTTCAATCTGTCCGCGTTGTAAACCCACATATTGCGCATAACTCCATGGCTTTGTCTTCGTCTTCGCAGTACCCGGTGCTTGAGTATAGCTCGATGTAGCGTGTCGTGCATATGTACTTTCTGCCAATGTGGGCTCTAGAAACTCGCTTCCCTCCATTTCGGGCGTCGACATTGTAATGGATGAGGGTCTTCGCGATGGAAATGGAGATGTAAATGTAGATGCGGATGCGGATCGTGAACTGGATGATACGAGTACGGGGACTTGCATTCGTTCCATACTGGGGGGTTTTCGAGTAGCTCGCTGGCCCTTTTCCAGGTAGCGGCTTCGGTAGTTGTGGTACATGATGGCGTCGTGGGTCGTGGGTGTGTCGAAATTATTGAAATTGGAGATGGAGGGGTGGAGTGAGTCTTCGTGCGGATTGAAGGGGTCGAGGAAGCGGGCGAGGCGCTGGGTGATGGCGTGGAAGGGGTGGGGAGTTTGGGAGAGGGTGGTGCTGATTTTGGAGAGGGTAGGAGGTGTAGGAAGATGTTCCTCCGAGAGAGGTCGGTGGTGGGACATGCGGAGGGATTTGCGGTTCGGAGGTACTGGTCGAGGGGTCTAAATTGAGGGGTATCGATCGAGGTGGTTTTAAGTTGAAAAATCTCGAAGCGAGACCACAAAAGGAGTAAATCAGTTGTGGTGATACGTTTAGAGTCTTCTATCCAGTCCAGTCTCAACTACCCAAAATTATCGAAGACCAAGTATCCAGAAAAGATCCAGAAGGAAACAGTCGTTGCCAGAAGCTATTGTGGATGAACGAAAATGTGTGTCCATTTATTGAAGACTCTCAGAAAGAAAAGCTTAAGCTTTTTATTGTGGGATGTTGAAAGCAGTTGGACTGTACAAGATGATGGATTTTGAAAGGTATAGGAAGACGATATGGTGAACAAGTTTTATGGTGGACAAGTTCTATGTCAAGTCGGTATGAAATTGTGGAAATGATGTAATGTTATTCAGTGTTTAGGATTGTGAATATCATTATGAACATGAATTTTAAATTTGATTCGTGGATGGTCACTGGTCCAATACGGTAGGTAGGTAGATTGTGAATGCCTTGATAGCTGTACTGTGAACACTGAATAGGGAGATTTATTAGCATATACTCGAGTAATTAACGAGATGTGGGGGAAATGGTGAGGAGTTGAAAAAGAGGGGGTAGTGAAGTGAATATATAGAATCATTTTTGGGATACATACTCACCTAACTACTCGAGTATGAGATGCGCTGTTTAAATATGAATGTATTTTCCTGTAGTATGGAGTAGTATGGACCTTGCGATTATTCTTCACGTGTATTTGTAGTGATATACATATCTTGCTGGACCATAGATAGCTTCAAAATTTATACGTTTAACTTTTCTACCCACATAAAATACGCGTAATTTAATTGTACTTGTACTAGACTTAACATATTTTCTAGCTTCCGCGATTATAACTAGACTTCAAGTTGAACTTGACTTTGAACTTGAACTAACCCCCTTTTAAGTTTCCTTTTATCCGAAGATACTATTGTTACCATCATCACCCTCCGAGTCGCCATTTACTATTTTTATATAAAGGACTTGAGAAATAGAGAGAGAAAATAGAGTAAAGTGTTTGAAAAGTCCTTTATAAGTAGAATATTCCATGTGATTCGGAATATTTTCAATAAAACTCGAGTACTCGAGCATAACTTGCAGAAACAATCATGATGTGTATTTCAAGACTAGTATCACTAGTATTCGATATGACTCTATAGTGTCATAGTAAAGTGAATAATGTGAAACGAAAGTAAAATAATGACTCGTTGACTATTTGTGAAATAAATAGGCTTTAAGCTAATTAGAGGAAGGGAGGGAGCTAGACTGAATAACGATCACTTGCGAATATACAGTATCAACCGCAGGCATTCTATACACTTGTTTAATCATAATAGTAGGGTAGAATCATGACGGACTTCTTAAATATGACATATATATCCATCAGCAAGTGAGATATTCCGGCTCAGAATACTTCAGACCTGATCTGATATACCCAAGATTTTAGCACCTTCCCGAAGGCCATGATGCCTTTTCCTGTCTTTTGCTTTGTAAATTTCGCTGGTATATACTCGTGCATACATGCAGATAGTATATTGAATTCTATAAAATGATCGTTTAAAGAGCATATTGCGGTGTATCCATGTAGCGAATCTCCTGGCCAATACTACAATTTTGAACATGTTGACACTTACTTATACAAAGGCAATTGATAGACTGTGGCAATTGTAAAGCTATGAGTAGCGCTGTGTAGGAGATTGATAATGTTAAAGGACTCACTAGCGATCGCTGATTCTTGTTCACATGTACGAATAACTCATACATCTTGTATAGACCATATATCTGACCAGACACCTTACTTGTCATCCAGGATCTACATTCAACACCTTCAATAAATCACTGCAGTTCATTTGCTTTGCTCATCATCGTACATCGCCCCCCATTGTAACAGTGAAACCGCATTTGTGAAGTGATTGATCGGCCCATTTTCTTTTAGATATATAATCGACTTTCAAATCAGCATCATTCATCACCACTTGTGTCTCTATATCCTTGTGTACTTTGTATTTTTCTCCTCTTCGCATGCCGACATCTCGTATAGTATAAGCAACACAAATTCTAATCCTTGTTCCAGCCTGCGAGATATCCTCGTCGCTTTTAATTATGGTTACCGCCACCACATGTCGAGTTAATTCTAGTCCCCACTGCTGCTCTTTCTTCTCACTGACCATTTGTATCATAGCACACATATTCCTTCTCGCTGCTTCGGTGGCCTTGTATTTGGTCTCGAGTGGGATCGGGTGTCTTCGTTATTTCTCGTAATTACAGGAACCATACTTTGATCGTAGTGTGTAGATTCAGTTCATCTTAAGCTTCCGCACATTTGGTTAGCAGTTGCCACAAATAGAGTATATATGACACACCTAGAGCCGTCTCTGCTCAAAATCGTGAGGTTCTGGGTATAGTTTCAAGCCAATATTAGTTGTAGTCCCGCAAGATAAACGGCAAATGCCAGATAAATGATCCGAGCCTCTAGTAATAGTAGCGCTAGGCGTAATGAACATTTTGAATCTCTGGCCACTCTCTTATTCGAGAAGCATTTCGTTTTTCATAACTCTCGCTGCGTAAGACTGCCTACAAGACTTTCTCGTCGGTCATGATGATTCCTGGAAATGTTAAAAATGTTGTCCAGCCGGCTAATATTTTGGGCTTGTCGCAAGCTGCGTATAAATAGACTGGGAGAAGATTAGCGAGGCTGTAAAATTGGCCTTCTCTGATAATAACGCAAATCATGAAGGTAGTATTGAAGTCGTGTATTTAAATATGGCAGTGGTATCATAGAAATCGATAGAATGATGTAGCTGGCGGATGGAGACAATTCAAGATGGCGCAATGTATCGCTGCCTCATCTCAATTCCTCCAGTCACCGTCGGAGATCTCTCCGTTTTTCAACGTCGCAAACTGAGCAGACAAGAGAAAGCAACGTGTACTTTCTTCTCCAGCAGCACAGTTAAGTCACCTAACTTATAATAGTCCTGGACTTAGCTTGATTATGTGTATGGAAATCTTCTGAAAGGTAATTGATGTAAAATCACTACCCAGCTAGCCAAGCTTACTACATACGAACCTGGCATAAATCTAGCAACGTTAAATAAAGATGGCAAGATTGATGTTGAAAAACTCTTATTTGGTTTAGTGGATATTATTTCGGATATGTCAAGTGTCGAGGTGATGTTGGTGCCTTTTCCACCCGACCTCGCTAACCCGTATCACGGGGTTGATGAAAACAATGAATTGACAAAATCAGGACAAGAGGTTTTTTTGGGGGGGAATTGATGTTTTATATTATTATTCTGGTAGCTGCATCATTAATTGTTCCATAAGGAACTCAGTAATGCAATGGAAGTGTTCGTTCTCCAATATCAGTGGGTTGTCATTGACTTCTGTATTATTTGTGGATCTAGTCATATAGAACTTACAGCTGCGACAAACTCGAAGATCTCCATACCTTGATGGAATCTAAATCAAAGTAAATAATAACCATGTCATCCACAATTCTGAACTATGTATGCAAACTGTGTTTCGTGTATCTTTGACGCCAAAGTATTGGAGGGTCAAATGAGGCACTAGGTCACAGAAATAAATTAAACTCCAAATCACTTAGGTCGCTGCAGTCTTGGATCTATATAATCAGTTCGTATATGTTGTATCTACATCTCTCTAGAAAATGTATAGCCAGCGGAAACCCAAGATCATCCCAAATGATCTGTCAATTAATGCATCTAAAGTTTTCTTTTCCTGCTGTGAAACTTGACCCATTGACTTCGAAATAATTGATAGACCCCAATTCTCCAAGCTATAGACCTGACGGCCATTCGTAAAAAATCCATGACTTTATGACATGCACCAACTAAATACACTTGTAACATTCAATTCAACATTTGCTAACTCTGCAACTCATCTCTTGAGAATATGAAAGGAGGACCCACCCCGATCTGTAATCTTCGGCACCTACCAAGTTTTCTAATCTCCAGTTTCTATCTTGATCAAGACCTAAGCCACCTAAGCTAATTGAGAAGAATTTTTTTTTAAAAAAAAAAAAGGCAGACTTAGCATTGTTTTGCAAAGGCAAGCAAATTGAAAGAAAAAAAAAATGAGAGAAAGTTGAAAGAAGACATTTCTATCTGCGCTAGCAGCGCAGATAACAACCTCTGCTTCCAACCCAAAGATGCGAGCTTACTAGGGTATATAATCATGGGTATGATCAATGTAAATGAGGAAGTGTGGGATTTAATTAGCTGGTTCTCCCTTGAACCCACTTTGAAGGCTTTTGTATACACGAAAGAAGTTTGATGGAACTTGATATAAAGATGTTATATAGTACAAGTAATAAGCTGTAATATCAATGGCAAGGAAGGCGAGCGTCTAACCATATCTTTTAAATGCTTTAAATGTATGTTTATTGAATTGTTCGTTGGTTAACATGAAGCAGAAAGCACAACTCAAGATCTAATTCTCCTCCTACCCCTCTACACCTTTTATCTATCATCATCAAGTTACCAAACGATTGAGCATAACTACACACAGAGCTGCCATTCTACTATAGCACGCTACTATATGGAGACCACTCAATGACAATGATCATCGATCAAAAAAAGTATAAGGAAAAATAGCCCTTCTCTTCCCACCCGAAAGATCTTCTAAACACCTCTTCTGTCTAGCCCCACCACATACCTCAGCTCAGAGGTCCCACCTCTCTCAAACTTCCCCGATTTCTTATCCACTTCTCATCAATACAAATAAAAGCCGGTTCCACAAATAAAATCATCAACCAATTACCTCTGCCGTCATCAGAAAAACAAAAATAATAAAAAATACATCGACATTTCGTTATGTACTTGCTTACTGAGGCAGTATGCATGTATATTCCGAATTGTGTACTATGATCTGATTTAATCAAGTATATATACTTCTCTATAGTAGTATAGTGGTAGTGTTGGACATTTTGCCCATGACAATGACATCAACTAGAAAGGTACCAGACCAGATGTCGGTAGTCAACATCGGAAAATCAACATATAATTTTATCTTCACAGCGAAATTGATTACTACCTAAAATGAGTAAATAGACTATGGAACAAATAAACCTCTTTACACTTTTTCCCTCTCGTTGACACCTCTCCTCTACTGAGCCTTCTCTCTCTCAATCACGCTACTCCTTTGGAATTATCTCCTTTTCTGCTCAACGACAATGCGAATCATCAACTCGTATTTAGATCTCGAACTTCAATATTGATCCTTTGCCTTTGGCAGTAGAACCTCTTTGCAGTTGATAATACTTGATATACCTTAAACGACGCAAATAACGACCAAAATTTCGAGAAATTTCTCGATTCAGATCTAGACACCCATAGTATTTTATGAATGTATGCTTCTACAGTAAGCAAATATTTCCTCCCCATAATATTGTCTACATGAGCTTATACCATTACTTCACCAGTGTTTCCAACGATCAATATAATTGCATTCCAATCACTTTACCTGATTCAACCAACTTAACGACTACCCATCTGCGAGTACGAGTCCAAAAATAACGATTTGTACAAGAATCCTGCTTCGATATCTTCAATAGCAAGCTTAGGCACAATACAACACAATACGAATCAATCCTCACATATCCACAGAATCCATCGGATTCCATCCTACAATACTCCTGCCTTCCTCATCTCCCTCACCTCCAAGAACCTCCTAAGCGAATCTGCGGGGGGGAACATCAGAAAGCTAACATCTCATTCATCTATCAATCCATCCATAAGTGCAAGCGCAAGCACAAATTCAAAACTTGACACCAAACTTGACACCAAACCAGGCTAAGCTCCTCCCTCGCGAGGAAGGAGCCAGATGCAAACCCCGGTGACATAATCTCGATTCCCTTTACACGTACAGAACTATAGCATCACCGCACCGCACCGCACTGTCTGCTATCAAGACATACATTACCAATATACAAAATTCAAAACCAAATATTCATGACAGACACCCAAAACGAACACATCTATACACATACACATGCGCATAAAAAGCCAAGAACCAACCTCTCCACCCCTCCTCCCCAATTGCAAAAGCAACCAATAGATTTATTTTCTCATTTCCCAATTCCCATTTATTTTTCTTGAAAACCATCTAATTCATCGCAAAAGTAATCTTATGAGTAACAGACTAACAGTAAAAGTGCATAAATAACAATACATAAAAACAAACCACAAACCACAATCCACAATCCACAATCCACAAAGCAGAACATACCGAACACAATGTATACTCGAGTATATATGATTACGATTACTATTACGTTACAATTACTCTCACAAAACATCAAATTAGGTCGATATATGTTCAAGAATCGGCATTCGATCCATACACGTATCGAACACCACTCTCCCTTCCCCATCAAAACTAGTAACTTCTCAACTCTAGAGTAGATACTCCCCCAATTCTTGCCCATGCATCTGTATCTGCATCTATCCAGACCTCAACTTCCTAACCGAGGGAAGGGGGTATCCAATCACCATACAAGTATTTTGATTTTCATTTCTCTCTCTTCTACCTACTCGTATTTACCTTATTACTTACCTAATAACCTATTACCACTACTAGCACTGTACGAATGAATGGGTATTTATACCATACCATAGTACGTACACCATACCATACCCTGACACCCTCCATCTAACACAATACGAGCGAGGACATGAAAGCTGCACGCTAATCAATACATGCACACTAAACTACAGTAGCCCCACTAAGCTAGGACCGCCCACCTCTTCCACCTCTTCCATCCTTCCATCCCTCCATCCTACCATCATAAGCGTCCTACAAAACCAATAAGCCATCATCACGTCACCCCTTCCCCTTCCCCTTCCCCTTCCCCTTCCCCAACCACCTATACCCCCACCCCCACTCACAGCCAAAGAATATCCATTTAATAACCCTAAATTCATAAGCTCATACCCACCCATGCTATCCCATATTCCATACACCACCCCAAATAAATCATACATCACTCCTAAAGAAACACCGCACCACTCTCCCCCATTCCACTAACATGTCTCGCGCCGCCATCCTCACTCATACTGCCGCCTGCCATAGTCCCCACACTAGCGATTCTCCTGCGCCTACTACTCAAAAACAAATCCACCATGTGTTTACTGCCCAACTGCTGCTGATCCAGCCCAACCCCAACCCCAACCCCAACCCCCACCCCCACCCCCACCCCGGGACCCAACACCCCACTCCCCTCAACCCCATAAATATCCTCCCCCCCTGCTGCCCTCTCATTCTCCCTCCCCCCAGCCCTTACTCTGGTTCTCCCATTTTCCGTCCCCATGCCTGTCCCTATCCCCATACCCACCTCCACACCCCCAAACTGTCTCTCCACCGCCGCCCCAATCCCCGTCCCTGGACTACTGTGCGGCGTATAACTACCCACCGGTTTCCCCGACCTCTTCACCAGCTTCGCCGGACTCCCCTTACAACGTTGACTCGCACTTGTATCGAAACTCCTGACACTTTTAATACTCTTGCTCTTACTCTTTCCGCTTTTCAGCGTTGCATCTGAGACATTGCGTTTATGCAGAACATTGCGAGTGCCAGCGCCATGACTTTCCACGCCTTGAATAGGTGTCGTTGGTGCGCTCCTCAGTGTTGCAGAGGAGAGACGTTTGTGCAAGACATTTCGAGCATTTGCACTGGTGTTCTGAATAGTGGATCCTGGTGTGGTGGGTGCGTACTGAGAAGTTGAGGTGCTTTTCAAACTCGTCTTGCTTTGCATGGGTCTTAAAGATGATCTAGCAGGAACAGGGGGTGGAAATGGTGGTGCGGGAGGAATGACAAATGATTTAGCATTATCGACATATGCATTTTCAGCTAAAGACGTCGTTGAGCGTTTCTTCAAGATCGGTTTCAAGAGGAGTTGGCCATTCCCCGAAGGAATCTGTTGAACGAGACCAAGTGGCTGCTTGCCTGTGGGCAGCTTTTTCTGAGCAATATCCGTATCATCATCCGTCATCTGTGCGTATTCTCTTCGATGCGCAATACGATAGGAACCTGGAATCGTGGGCGTGGCTGATAATGAACGATCGATATTACTAACGCTCACTCGATTGTTTTCTTGTGGTCTTTCTAATCTCGCGACTTCGGATGACATCCACTGTTTCCAGTCAACCGAGCCTCCGGAATCATCACCTCGTTGTCTGGGATGAGTTGGACGGTAGGTGGTGCTGTTGATTATAATAGCACCACCAGCGCTTGATCTGTCGACAGGTAAGGATGGCAGTCTTACATTCGCGAGTGGAACCGAGGTGTCGCTACTCATAGCCTCGGAAAGATTGTAGCCAGCTGTCGGTCGAGAATAGACACTCTCACTATAAGCATCATCATGACCATGGCCAGTTGCTTGGAGAGTATTTCGGACTGGTGAGCCTCTTCTAACCATGCAGTCATCGCTGGCCACGGCTGAATTATCACTTTCCGCCAACGCACGACGATACGGACTTGTATTCCCGATTCTGTCTATCTTAAATGTTGAACCTCCAAAGAATGCCGACCTTGCCTCGCGGATAACTTTTGTGCTTGGGATTATAGGATCGTCACGTGCGGCGATTTGCTGCGGAGTGAGACCTGAAGGGTCTTGCACAGGAAAGTATGGAACATCGATATTAGCTAAGATATATCCTTCTGCAGACTCTGAACTATGCATATTGCCTCGCTGATCAAAAGAGCAGCCGCCGCTAGATTCGGGGTGCGAGGAAAATACGTCGTCTTGGCTTTGAGGTTGCGTATTATATAAAGGCAAATCCGCAGATTTGAATTGATGCTCAGGGCCAATGGCGTGGCTGAAATGATCTTCACCCTTAGCAGTGCGATTAGAACCAGCAATGTTCGAATTGTATACTTGAGAGTATTGGTTTTGGCTTTGATTGCTCGGTTCGCAGTCTGGAGGTACTTGTCGAATCCATGACTTGGACTGTGAGAGGGTGTCGGTAAAGGAGCTAGTGCGTCTGGGGACTTCATCAGCTCTGAGAGTATCGGTACTGGCCTTCCTTGACTTTGCGAGCATTGCTTCCGGGCTGTTCTCGTCCAGACGCTTCATCAAAGCAGAGCAGAGTCTGGCGCTATCTACACCTCCTGGTCTAATCGGTTGGACATGACCCGGCCGATGAAATGCAGGATAGGCTGGATGTTGATTTTTTACATTTGGACGATGAAATGCTGCTTTAGAGATATGGGTACCTGATTCATTAATGATAGAAAGTCTTTGATCTCTGCTAGGTTGAGGACGCAATCCTTGACTCGTAACAGTATTGTTGGCCGTGCTATTGGTCCAGCTTGTTACTCGAGACTTTTCGTCACTATTATCACTTCGGAAGCTGCGAATGCTACCACTTTGTGACCTGAGTCTTTGACTTGAGGCAATAGCACGTAATGATGGGACTCGAGATGCTACATGAGCGAATGCAGCCTCATCAGGTCTAGGAATATCGAGGAAAGACTCATGATCGGGTGATAATTGTCCGGCATATGCTCGGATGTGAGTTTCAATGGCGTCCACCTGCTGATTGGGAATAACGACGGGTTCTTCCTTGTTGCGTCCAAATACTTTCCGTAGTTTGCTTCTTAATCCTTGGGATACCTTACGAGCTTTGGCCCTCAATCCGCCTTCCCTTACAGATTCAGTCGAATCAAATGTCGCTGCAGATGTTCCGCTGCTGCTTCGAACCGACTTTCGAAAAGGCTTTTCCTGTCGTTGTGCTTTTGATCTGAAAAGGAAAGATGGTTGCTCCCGAAGTCTTTGTTGCGTGGCTTGAACAAAAAACCGATCTCTGGCCATTTGGACGGCTTCATCATTTCTTTCGCATGATATGGTAGACTTGAAGTAATCCCGTCCTCCTCGGAGAAAGCTCATTGACTTTGGAGCTCGCAAGGGAGCATCGTTCTCTTGAGTGCGCGGAGTGGATGAATAATTGGTGCGGTCAGGGCTACCATTGCTGTAATAGACGTTGGATGGCGCCGACAAGGGATTAAACATGGACTTCGACTTTCTGATCCGCCGATATGAAGATGGCGTTGAGGCAACATCATCCTCTTGTGTGTAGTATTCATCAAAAGCCAAATTTGTAACGTAATTATGAGCAGCGTAATCTTGAACAGCTGCCTTGCCAAGCGAAGCCTTGCCAATTGAAGAAGAACGACTTGGTGGACGATACGCTGCAGGGACCGGCGCATTTGTGGTCATCGCAACAGGTCTTAAGGTTGCAGTACTTGGTTTATGGGTCAATACAGGGGGTTCCGTTCGTTTTCCTGTCGATTGACGTCTCTTGACCGCATTGGGACCTGCAAACCGGACACTTTGCTGACGTTTGAGTCCTGGATTATCATTATTTGTAGAAGTATTTTGTTGACTCGGCCGCGATTGATTCCCCTGAGTTGTGCTGTTGTTTCGTGAAAGTCCGTACGTGTTTCCGCAACCCGTGCCACTCCTTTCCTGGGCTCGATTGAAGGCATACATTGCTGCAGCGTGAGCATGCATTCGAGACTCTTCAGGGTCGACAGTATCGTGTTTGCCGTAGGCTGATGATGTTGATTTGCTTCGACTAGGTCGAGTAGAACTGTTTCTTCGGAGCATATCCCCTATGCAATGCTTACAAAATGAGGTAAACGTGAATGAATTGAAATTAAATGCGTGATACAGCTGTTACTTGCACGCATGTATTAACCAAAATTTGATTGAACCAAAAATTTGTGAATGAACGACTTCAGTAGAGACAAGACACGATATTTTAAGAGGTGAAAACAGAATTAGCTATTCGAACAATGCCAGAAGAGTTCTTTCCGTCAACGCTGGTTGGGGAAAGAGCTATGGAAGAACACTCGGGATAGAAACACATCTAAGAAGTCACCACGCTGAGAGTTGTCACGGAACTTTCACTATGATTGGAAAGAATGAGTTGTTACAATTTAAATATAAATACTGGTCTATTTAGTCTTACGACACGAGACCCCCTAATGTTCCTAAACGCAAACGCAATAAAAAGCCCTGTAATCAAAAGATGCATATAGTGACATCCAGCCGGCTCCATCCCATGACCATCATAACAAACTGAAAAGAAAACAGTAAAGGACCATGTCCTTCAATATCTATGCCAAAATATGTGACATCAAGATGTATCTAACTCTAAGAGCTGAACTCCTCAAAAAATCCATTGATCTCCTCATCGACCATCTTTTGAATCTTCTTGGAAAGCTTCTCAGTCTTGGAAACCATAGATTCAGTTCCCTTGACAACCTTGCCAGATAGCATGTTGAAGTCATTCTCGATGGCCTCCTCCAAGAGTTCAATGGTGGTTGGGAGTTGCTTGGATCCCTTGACTGCATATCCACCAGCCTTGATGATGGAGGTGTAGTTGGAAGATCCACCACCGTTCCACGCAAGGATGTTCTGGGTGTTAGATGGAACGTCAGAAAGAGCACCCTCGGTTGCAACAGAGAGGAGATTCTCCTTCATTTTCTTGGGGGTGATCTCAGCAACTGCGTAAGCAGAGTCGCTAGATGGTTGAAGAGAAAGGTAGTAGGCTAAGAGACCACAGACGTGGGGAGAGGCCATGGAAGTACCAGAGATGGTGTTGACGGCATATTTGCTACCGATCCAGGTTGAGAGAATGCTCAAACCAGGAGCAAAGATGTCGTTGCAGGTACCGTAGTTAGAGAAATAGGCGCGGGAGTCATCGAGAGCGGAAGCACCAACAGTGACGGCGTTCTCAGCAGCAGCTGGGGAGTAGTTGCAAGAGTCGGCGTTATCGTTACCAGCGGCGACTGCGAAGTGGATACCAGCAGCAACGGCACCGTTAACGGCACGATCGAGAGCAGGGGATTTGCCACCACCAAGAGACATGTTGGCAACGGAACCCTTGAAGCCCTTCTTTCCCTCCTTAGCCTTTTGAGTGTGGGAGTTGGCAGCCCATTCAACACCCTTTACAACATCTGCCATGGTACCAGAACCGTTGGATCTAAGCACCTTGACGGCGTAGACATTGGTCTTCTTGGCAACACCATATTTCTTACCAGCAACAGTACCAGAGCAGTGAGTTCCGTGTCCGTTTCCATCCTCATCAGCATCGCCAGATGGGATAGTCTTACCCCAGTGTGCACGACCTTCGAAATCAACGTGTTCAGTGTTGGTTCCAGTGTCAATAACATAGGCATCGACTCCCTCACCCGCATCAGCGGCATACAAGTATTTGTTGAATGTGGCAAAGCTCAAACTATCTCTATGCGAGATACGAGCCAAACCCCAAGGAGCGTTCTTCTCAGTCTCGCCACCATCCTCTAATGTGTGTACGACGGAGTCTTTCTCAATGTATTCGACCTGTAAGAGTAATGATTAGTATGACTGTGACGTAAAAATAATAGACCAATAACTAAGAATGATGATGAACCATCACGTGGGATGTTGCCGCTTGCGTGTGAAACAAGACGGTTGATTGAGCCAACAACAATAGGCTTATGAGGCCTTTGTTGGCAAAGTTGAGATAAGGGGAAATCATCAAGATAAGGGTAGTATTTATCCAATTGGAAACGGAATAGATGGGAGAAAGCACGCAATTGATGCCAAAATGATGAGAGAGTGTTGTACTTACATCAGGATGTCTTCGGACCTCTTCGATGATCGAGTCATCAAAGTGACCGGAGTAACCCAAGAAGTCACCGGCGATATTATATGTGTGCTTGAGACCCTCGAAGATATCGGTGGTAATTGGGAATTGTCCTCTCTTTCGGAGCTCGGTTCGTTGAGCCTCACCCGTAGTGTGAATGTTTTGAACCCAACTGTGATGCTCACTGGCAGATGCCTCGCTGACGTGCTTCTTGAATACAACAATGTAGGAGTCTGGGACCTCTACAGAGTTTGCAGATGAAAGGAGAGGAGCAACACCTTCGTGAATGGTTTCAGTGCTGAAGGTTGGTGCCGAGGATACCAGCAGCGGCAAAAGCGATAAGCTGATGAGCCCACGCATGTTGAATAGATAGATGTAATAGAAGTTGATGGTCTGTCTGCCTGCGACTTTCTATGAAAGAGATAATAAAGGCTTATGGAGATGGATTGAATATCTAGAGATGATGGAGTTTGATGAATGAAGAACAGTATTTGAATTTGTAATGATGGAAGGAAGAAGGAGATGGATGATGGATGGTGAGAGAGTTGTTGATGTACTGCGAAGCTCGGGGAACCGACAAAGGTGCACTAGGCAACTACGGCGCGATGCTCGTTTGGGTTTAAACTACTTTGGGGGTTAGCGTATTAGTTTATCAGTGACGAATGGATCACGCAGACAAAGTTGAGCGAAGCGATAAGAGGTTGAAGAAGGGGGAAGGCTTGAGAAGGCTTGCATGGCTTATTACGGTAGAAAGAAAGAAGGTGTGAGGTGTGGATAAGAAAGCTATCGTGGCTCTAGTAATTAATGAGGGTGTGAGGCAAATAATGCAAAGGGAATGGGTATGGGTATGGGCATGGGATGGGGGATGATGATGATGAATCCTAGATCCTGTCTTGTCTTACTTTGTTCGTTCTACTCTTTCGATCGAGTGGTTCTCCCCCGTACTTTATTTTCGAATTTTATTAGATATGATGGATAGGATGGGATAATTAATGGAATCTAATGGCTCTTTTTAAGTACCCATTGATCTTATCCATATAATTGGAGATCTCTGGATGTGATTGTACCGCGGCAATGTAAGCAAGCCCTTCCTTTGAATCATCGAATAGGAACGGCTTATTGAATGTTTCATACCAACTTTCCAGTTTATCTAGAGCTTACCTAATCACTTACGCTCAGGGTCTCGGTTCCCGTAGCTAAACAGGTACAAGTACGTACAGTACGGTGTTTACGTATCAAGCTGGCTGGATATCCACATCTCGCGGTATAAGTGAGTTGCATGATTCAGGTACGAGACGCAGCGGTACTCGGGTTCAAGCAATCCATTGATTGATAGATCTTCTAATAACAAGGCGGTGTATTTTATCATACTTTATCGGTTCATTCGGTGTGGCTTTTCCTATGATATGATTGATAGCAATATTGCAACATGATTTACACACGAGACCTATTCAGAAGATATGCATCTAGTCATCGCATACCTCCTAACCTCCTATCTATCCCTCCTATCCTTCCATCCTTCCTATTCTTCCTATCCTTCCTATCTGTCTATTACCCGTACTAACAGTCCGTCTCGGTATTTGATATTCTAAGCTCACCCCCAGTGAGACAAATCTCCGCATGATTTCCATCATTATTTCTATCAATATTACAATATTACAACTAGTGATTGAGTCAGAAGCGCTGAGCATGTGTCAACGCACATTCCGGCTTCAGGCTGATCTTCTAGAGAGGGAACTTACACGTGATTCGTGATTGATAGCTCCTCATAGCTCATAGCTCCGAAAGGGGGGATTTGAGGGGGGGTTCCTAGATGGCTTCCGGAATGGTAAACCAAAGTTGTTTCACGACCAAATTTTTTGAACTTCGATGCAAACGGATATTTTAAATCTCGAGAGAATTGTCGAGGAAAGAAGTTACCAGATTATCTTCGTACTTTTCCTTCTTCTAAAACATGGCTCACATACAATCATCAAATTTAGGCACTAGTTCTAAGGCTACAATTTTTAAACTGGCAAGGCCACCGGATATGTACATAAGGCTGACACCATGAAATGAGTGAACGACAACAACATTGGAGCAATCTACAATAAACTCATGGTAATTGCGCAGTTGAAATTCCACTCACTGCATCTGCTATCTCTATCTCCTCACTTTTCTCCCAAGTGTCAAAATTGGCTGTCAATAACGTTTCGCGTATCCCCACTTCTCGTACCAGTATCAAAACAAAGCCCAACTTCGATGCAAGTCAACCTTGATCGCAATCTAGAACTCAATATATCAAAACGACACAGGATTGAACGAACTCTTAGAAACTGGAAGAGCTTCAATAACTAATGCGGGGCAAGCAGAAAGGTTGATTTCCTAAGCTGGACGTAGGGCGGGGTGGAATATGTCGACACGAGGCCGAAGACATCGATCGTCGACTGCGGCTTCAACTCCTCCCGAAGCAACAAAAGCTACCGCAGAGCTACAAGTTCTCCTCGATGATTTGTCTACGGTCCTTCAACAGCGTGTCGAAGATGTATATCCTGATCTGCCATCAATTGTTGAACGAGTTCAGGCTATTCGAGTCTTTCTAATAGCATCCTCACAAACATCACAATCAAAAGATGACTTCCGACATCTTCATGGATATCAAATCCTGCTGAATACCCTTCGAGCATTTTCGGGGTTTTATCATCCCTTCAAAAGGAATCAGCAGGATAAAATACGATTTTTCGACCTCCTCGAAAACATATTAGGTGTGTTGGCACAGACATTTCGAGAGCATTATGGAAATAGAAGATACTTCAAACGTCGAGTTGAGGGAGGAGGCTGGGCAGCTTTAGAGCAAATAATAGCTAGCATTGGTATCGGTGGTAGTGAGTCTGATATATGGACGGAAGCGCAGCTTTTTGGGCGGCTTCTTGCATTCGCTTTGGACGACAAGAGATTTGAAACTTTATGTCAAATCGCCGCTGAATACCATCCATCAAGAATCAAGTCAAATGATCCCACAATATCCGAGGACGTCAAAGACACGCCAATTGCAACCCAAGACCCAAAGCTCGAGTTAGAAAACATCAAAAACGATGAAGGCATTCTCAGCTTGGTGGAGACTCGTTTGCAGGCGATCCTGCGCGAGAGCTCCTTGCTACATCATGCAGATATCGTTCCAATTATTATAGACTTTTGGAAAACCATACCTCGAGTTCCAAACCTACCGGTAAATCCAGCTGCATTGGTGGTTATTCTAACATTGTCAAAAATTTCTTCAATATCAAATCACAGTTTGTTGGCTTTGCATTCGACAGGAGTATTATCCACTCTGCTTCCGCTTGCTTTCGATCCTGACTCTCCTCTTGCTACCACTGAGAGACAGACCGTCGAACAGTTATGTGGTTCTTTGATATCTTTAGGTATTAGCTCTTTGAATGATGCCCAATACCTAGTCTCTAGCCAGTCTCCTATTGCTAGCGAATTCTTGCTTCGTACGATGAAGAAATCTCACACTCCTTCGTACATTCAATTTGATCTTTCTTTGAATGGTTTTGCTTCCATAGAACTTCCCACTCTAGCAAGGTCTTTCCCGCCCCCCTCGACAGTGGGAGGCTATACATTCACAGCCTGGATATTCGTGGACAAATTTGATCCAAATGCCCATACGACTATCTTTGGGGCATATGATGAGACTCAAACCTGTTTTTTGTTGGCGTATCTTGAGCAGGATACTCACAATTTCATTCTACAAACATCCATTTCCTCGTCACGACCGAGTGTTAGGTTCAAGTCGACAGCTTTTCAAGAGCGCCGTTGGTATCATATTACAATAGTTCATCGACGTCCTAGAACGATGACATCGAGTAAAGCGATTCTTTATGTTGATGGGGAATTCGCGGAACAAGTCAAATGCCAATACCCAGCTCCTCCGCCACCTACGAATGCCAGCACAGAAAGTTTTGCTTCCTTCACCTCAACTAGTACTAAGACACATCCAGTCCAGGCGTTTCTGGGAACTCCTCAGGATCTTTCCACGCGCCTCGGACGTGGTGTTGTCTTTTCTCGTTGGTCTTTGGCTTCAGCACATCTTATTGAGGATGTGATTAGCGACGACTTAGTAGCTGTTTACTATCGTTTGGGACCACGATATAATGGAAATTTTCAAGATTGTATGGGGTCTTTTCAGACGTATGAGGCTTCTGCGGCTTTGGGAATGCGTCAGGAGCTCATGCATCCAGGGAAGGAAGAAAACTCAGATATCCTCAAAGCTATACGTGGAAAGGCTAGTGTGTTAGTACCGGAGACTCGTATCATCTTGAGTATTCTACCCACTGCTATCTTGGGAGAGGAGGACCGACTGAAGGGACCGGAATCTCAACTTTTAAGGGGACTAAACCGAACAGCCTCGAATAACTTGTTCCAATTGACCCACAACAGTGGTACTTCGGTTGCTATCAATGGATCTACTCCCAGTATCAATGAAGCATTAACTAGAGCTTATGGCTCTGCAATTCTCACAGGTGAACCAGTAGTTATTGTTCCACAGGCTCTAGATGATGCAATGTGGAGACTAGGGGGGTTTACCGCAATTGGATTGAAGCTGGTCGAAGTCGCCAACACGAAAGAAAGTATTGTCCGTGCCGTCGAAAATCTGTTTGAGAGTATCAACGCAAGTTGGCGCAACAGCGAGGCCATGGAGCGAGAGAACGGCTACGCAATACTGGGCGCCCTTCTTCGTGGCAAGATGGGTGCTGGAACTGTCATTTCGACAAGGACGGGTAGCTCGGATAACTCCAATATGAGCGAGGATGATCGTGACAAACTTGGGTTTCGATTGTTGAGCCTGGTACTGGATTTTGTTGGTTATAGCCACGAGACACCCGAGGAATCATTTATAATTAACCCTCTTGCATATCGGATATTACTTGTTGACTATGACATGTGGCGGAAGACTGCTCCAATCACTCAAAGATTATATTATAAACAGTTCATTACATTTGGCGTTAACAGCAAATATCACGAATTCAATTCCCGACGCCTATTTCGAATGCGTAAGTTTACTACACGTACTCGTGATGATTACATTGGCTAATTCTGTATAGGAATTGTGAAAAGGTTTCTAGATGCTCTGAAAGCCGAATTGTTCCCTGCGGGTGTCTTTCCTTCTTTCATGGAAGCACTAACTAGCTTGGTGAAGTGCAATATGACAGCAGAGGTCTTCCGCTCTCTTGCTCTATTCATCACTTATGCATATCACAAACCTACAAGTTCTACTTCAAGAACTCCTAAGAATCCTGGATCAACGCTTCCGATACGCTCTGGCACGGTATCAAGAGGCCTCAGAAGACCAACCATTAGCACTGTATTCGATGCGAATGAGATGCTTGCGCCGATAATGACTAAGAGACAGCTTGGTAACAAAGTGCTTGGAATGTATACTGAGCTTCTGTGTGAGAAAGGCACCACATCAAACATTCGGAAATTTGCTAGGACTGTGACGAACAAAGTACGTAAATCATACACTGGATGCTCGCAACTTTCTCTAACCCCGTTAGTGGCTCTTACATCTCTTAACGGAAGATGATCCACAAGTTGTGGTCCTTGGCTCGAAGATATTAGCCCGCCTTTTAGTCATTCATGGCTCCAGCTATGCATCAAAATTCTCGAGTAAAACAGGAGGTTTTACAATTATGCGACATAGATTGAAGAGATGGTGGGACATCCCAACACTTTGGCCTGTCTGTTTTAGTATACTATTCGGACATGACGTCGCGGACATTGATTTCGAGCAGCCATTTGAGCTGTACAATCTTCTGGAGACATTTGGTACAGGTAAAGTTGTGTACTCAAATGTGCTACCTGTAATCATGACGATGCTGCAGCATGGATTGAAGGATGTGCTACGAAATCAAGATGATCCTGACTCGCCGCTTCATGATAAGGGCCATTGGAAGGACCAGGAGGCACCAACTGATACTCTTAAACTCCCAACTCGTCACAGGTCAATGTCTCTCACAAAAGAACTCGAATCTCGACGTAAGTTAGTTGTGTGTTTTCTTACAGAACCTTACAGAACCTTACGCTAACAGTGTAACAGAATCTAGGCAGCCTAAAAGAGAACAATTAGCGGAGCAAGTTGTTATTCTACACACCATTATTAGGTTCCTCGCGGACTTGCATAGCAAATCTCAAGAGTTTAGGGATTTTGCTTTGTCGTCAGACTATGTCAGACTTCTGCTGGCCGTTCTATTTCCCGTGGTCGTTAGTTCAGATGCTGTCAGTCCAGAGACGGAATTGAACTCTCGTGATTCTGCGTTGACTTTCGAGGGTGATGATGTCATCATTAGACCGGTGTCTCGCGTATCAGCTATGCCTATACCCATTGTCCGAACCTCAACAGTGAAGACTCTTCTTCCACCTAGTCCTACAACTCTCAGAGCGAAACCTCTTCGTCGGGGGTCATCATTTGTGTTGTTAACAGCTCGCCCTTCGGAATACAGTCCATCTTCTGCAAGACTTAGTCTAGTCATGTCGCCAAAGAAAAGAATCGCTACACAGAAAGTAAGTAACGCAATAGTTGAAGGTATGCTAGAACTAGCTATCAATGTCTTCATTGACCAAGTGATGGCTCGTAAAGAATTTCCTGGGTTTGGATTGTTCCTCAAAGTTCCTCCCGGATTTCAAGAACACCAGGCGTATTTCGAGTCGTACTTGCTGCGTAACATGATATCACAGCTTGGTACTACTATTCAATTGGACCAAAAGTCACTCTGGGAGCCTCGAGTCATTCAGAATATGGCTCGTTTTGTCCTCCATATAGGTGAAGCTGTATTTGAAGGCTGGTTCCTGGGAGGTGCTGAAACTTTATTGGACTTTGCAGGAACAATATTGGAATACTTAGAGCGACCCGAAGTCTCCAAGATCAAAAGTGTCCGACTGTGTAGCCAAGCTGTTGCTTCGATCAAAAGCGTCTTCCTTCGAGTCGTCTTGCTGCGTCTATCTGAGCTTGATGTGCCAGAAGCTTCTGAGTCGGAAGCATTGGCATTCATGGACAAGCTACTTTATTGGCAAACTGTGGTCTTGTCCGCCGATGTGACTGAAGATAACTTTCTGAAGCTTATTTGTTACCAGCTTTATGTTAAGCTAGTTGATGAAAAGGAAAACATACGCTTGGCTGCTGCAAACATTTGGCGCATATTGCTTGTTCAAAAGCCCGAAGAAACGTCCAATATGCTCCGTCATGCTATGCCTGGCCAGTACAAACATCTGGACTCTGGTTTTAAGAAGCTTACTGAGTTAGATAATGAGACTTTTGCGGAATGGGTTGATAGCTACAGAGCGGAGCTTGATGCTTTGTTTTTTGGTGCAATGTCTCGTGCTTGGGAAGACTTCGTCAATGCTGAGAATGAGAAGACCGAAGACACCCTTAAAAATCGCGTTTCCAAGCGACGTGAGAAGCTCAAGCAATGGCATGCAGATGATCTTAATGATGAGGATATATTGTTTCGTCATGACCTCGCATCAAATCTATGGATGAAGAACATCTATGCATCCGAACATCTCAAGCACCAAAGAGCACAGCAAGACCAGCAGGATAATTTCAGCTTTCTCGTGTCTACTTTTTCGAGAATGGATCGTGAGCTCCATAGGCCTTGTGCAGTTTTTGATCGCGGGGTCCCCATAAAATGGAAATTGGACCGGACCGAGGGTCGAAATCGCATGCGTCTCCGCATGCTACCGGATCGTGCTGCTCCGACCTATGATTACAAACCGAAAAGACGTCCCACGGAGACAAGTACAAACGATATTCTGCAGGTAAACACAAAAGTTAGCAGTATTGCTCCGACTCAGCACTTTGATTCAACACCCAGATCTGCAGTAGAACCATCTGGAGACTTTGTTGGTCAAAATGGATCCGATAGGAGGACGGATGATCCATCAGAGGAGACTCCAACTGAAAGCCCGGATAATGTTCAAGAAGAGGACTTTGAACTTGTTGACGACCCTAATGACCCTGGTGATGGCGATGATGGTTTCGAGGACAAAAACCGAAAGGTCATGCGCAGCCTTCAAAGAGGAGATTCGGTACAACACGTTTTTAATATCTCACGAATCATTGGACTTGAGGCAGTTGAAGGCCTATTGATTCTAGGCAAGGATTCCCTCTACCTGATTGACAATGTCTTCCAAAGATCCGACGGGGAAATTGTGAATGTGGCAATGGCTCCTAAAGAGGAACGCGATCCTTATTTACAGATGATCGCTGGTCACAAAGCAAATGAAACAACACCTCAACCTCTCAGAACCGAGCAAGAATCACGAAGTTGGAAGTGGAGCGATGTCATTAGTATATCCAAGCGTCGCTTTCTGTTTCGGGATGTTGCAGTGGAAGTCTTTTTCACAGATGGTCGTAGTTATCTACTTACGTCCATCTCGGCTACTCTCAGAGACGATCTCTTTACTAAGCTTTCTTCAAAAGCTCCACATACCAATGGTAGTTCTGTTTTGCCAAATCCAGAAGATGGCTGGCGTCTTGAGGCTCTCAAGGTATCGGACGAGGCACCTACTACTTTTGGCTCTAAATTTGGTAGCATCTTCAATTCTTCTGCTTGGAACCCAGCAATGCGACGATGGGCAAAAGGAGAAATCTCGAATTTTCACTACTTGATGCTCGTCAATACGATGGCCGGTCGTACTTTCAACGATCTCACTCAATATCCCGTCTTCCCTTGGGTTCTAGCCGACTATACTAGTGAAGAGCTAGATCTTAACAATCCTGCTTCTTTCCGAGATCTATCAAAACCAATGGGCGCACAGCACAACTCTCGTCAAGCGGACTTTATTGAAAGATACAAAACATTTGCAGAGATGGATACCAGTACACCTGCCTTTCATTATGGGACCCATTACTCCTCAGCCATGATTGTTACATCATATCTAATCAGACTTCAACCTTTTGTTCAATCATACTTGCTACTCCAGGGAGGTAATTTCGATCATCCTGATCGATTGTTCTATTCGATCGCGAAAGCTTGGGAGTCTGCGTCTAAGAATAACATGTCGGATGTGAGGGAGCTGATACCAGAATTCTTTTACCTTCCAGAGTTTCTCACTAATAAGAATGGATACAATTTTGGCTTACGACAAGGGGAAGGCGGAGGTATAGATACTGTCGCCCTTCCACCATGGGCCAAGGGTGATCCAAAAATATTCATTGCTAAACATCGCGAGGCTTTAGAAAGTCCATATGTTAGTAAAAACTTGCACCAGTGGATTGATCTTGTTTTTGGTTGCAAGCAACGTGGAGAAGCTGCTATCGAAAGCGTTAACGTATTCCATCACCTTTCATATCATGGTGCAAAGAACCTTGATACCATCGAAGATCCTGTCGAAAGGCTAGCTACCATTGGAATCATTCATAATTTCGGTCAAACTCCTCATCAAGTATTCCCTAAACCTCATCAATCTCGAGAAGACATGCGTCAAAAACCAAAGAGACTTGATACTTCCGCTGAATCTCTGACACGATTACCCTTTCCCTTGATCGAAAGTCATGAACGTGTCGCATCACTCATTTATTCCTCTAAATTGGATCGACTACTCTGCGCCACAGCATTCCGCCTCAATCTTCCTCCGACTTATGATAAATACCTAGAATGGGGGTTTGCCGACAATAGCGTCCGTTTCTACTTTAATGACTCCAAAAAGCTCGCTGGTCTCTTCGAAAATCTCCATCAAGGTCAATTATCTTCCGTCATCTTTGCCTCATCACAAATTCTCATTACAGCCGGTGAAGATTGTGTTCTCTCCGCCCATACAATCATAACTTCTTCATCCAAACCTGTCGATCTCCAACCTCGCTCTTCCCTATTCGGCCACAAAACACCAGTCACCACTCTCGCAGTCAGCACATCCTTCAGTACCATGCTCAGCGCCTCATCTGATGGTCTCGTCCTTCTCTGGGATCTAAATCGCTTAGAATTCGTCCGCAAACTCACACATGGTCGACCTGTCGAATGTGCTCGAATTAATGATGTGACTGGCGATATTATGTTATGTCGTGGTCAAAAGGTTGCTCTATATACCTTAAACGGCGAAGCACTTCTCGAGCAAAATGTCTGCGCGGATCTAGGACACGATGATTACATACACAGTTGTGCGTTTTACGAAGGTACTGGAAATGAATGGTTGGAGAGTACATTACTTTTCACGGGTCATAAAAGGGGAATAGTGTGTATATGGCGGAAAATCGTGGGTGAACAAAGTGGGAAATGGGAGTTGGAATTGGTGAAGAGACTGGATCATGTGGATGGGGCAAGGAGAGATGCTAGTGGGAATGGATCGGTAGGACCGCCCGGGAGGAGATTGACGGTCAATGGAAACGTGGAGGCAGGGATTAGTTGTGTGGCACCGATGGAGAAGGGGGTTTATACTGGGGATGAAGAGGGGAGAGTGGTAAGTTTCTTTATTGTTTATTTTTCTCGTTGGTGATGATATTGTCGTTATGAAGAGAAGCTAATCATCATATCAATAGTTTGAATGGACATTAGTCCAACGCGAACGATGACATAAATGTAACAAAGTTGAGGCAAGGCAAGATATACAGCGAGGTATAAATCGATATATCATGATTCATGATGGCCTATACAAACAAGGAGTAGAATGGCGCGGTGTGTTATGATCATCGAGTTTCCAATACATAGCCTAGATTAAAAGAACAAAAGACACAATGAGGAAATACACATGACTGGGAGGCGTACGGCGCTTTTTTTCGTCCAATCCCCTTCATTTAGTGCTTTCTTTCTTTCTTTCTTTCTTTCTTCATCTTGGGGATGTACTCGTACTCGTACTTGTGTTTGCATAAAATGGAAATGGAAATATCAAGGATGGGTTAGTGTAGGGGTTTAACAAACATATAACACGCTTTCACTGAGTTGAGTAGCTAGCTAGCTCTTCGGCTAGGTTTGATTCTATTCCTGGATTGATTTTCTCTTTTGATTTATACGATGCGGGAAGGGAGTGGATGGAGTCAATGGAGTGTTTGTTGATGTGATGGATGGCATTGTGGATTTTCTTGCGATGTTTTGGAGGATCGTTTTGGGGGTGTGGGTGAGATGGGAAAATGTATGTAGGATGTGGATGTGGATATGGATGTAGTAGATATTCAATACGAGTATGATGAATTTTTAAGATTGTTTTTACTGAGTGGTGTAAGTCTATTTATATTGTATTGCTGGAGTTATGCGTCTGGATTTTTTATACCAACTCAACTTAACTTTGTCCATCTCTATTAGCTCATCGGACCTCGGCTAATCTTCGGACACATTCATTTACACCACTTTCTCTCCACTCCACTCCAACCACCCCACCCAAAAAAAAATAACTATCGCATCTGCACTTAAAATCCAACTCCAATTTCCAATCCCCTCTGCCCCCCGAACCAAAAATGAGTCCAGATATATAAAAAATCAACAAAAGAATACATTCCGAATCCGGGAATCGAACCCGGGGCTACTCGGATCAGTTTCAGAAAGAGACATGAAAGCGAGTTATGTTAACCCCTACACTAATTCGGATGTTTTGGTTGTTTGTTGTTTGATGGAGGGGAGTGTTGGTTGTTGGGTTATATTCATACTAATTGTTTTTTGTAGGAGGATAGAATAGAATAGGTTTGAATAGGTTTATAATGGATGGGTTTATATATATATAGTAATCGAAATCCCGAGTATATAGATATAGATACTAGTACTCGTAGATATAGATATATCTATTTTGATTCAGTATATTTGGAACGCTATACTGAATCAAAATCGATATAATTAATATACTCGTATGCAGCGAACGAAGATCTAGAAATAGAGGTTGACTCAAACTTGCATAATTCTTTCTTTTATTTATTTTCTTTCCATCTCCATCTCCTGCTTCTCTTCTCTCTCCTCACTCATTCATTCATTCATACTCCAAGTCCTGCTTATGCTAATGCTTAAGCTTAATATCGAGATATATACGAGTATAGACATTGGAGATGCAGGTTTGAAGATAAACCACTTATGTTATCATTCCTATCAAGGCTATCATCTCGTCTTTTCGACCGTCTTTACTCAAGAGGAATATAATGTATTTTCGACTTTCCTTTCCACGTCCACGTCCACGTACACGTCCACTGCCTTTTGCCCGTTTCCACTCAATAACTCTTGATTCTCATCCTTCCAAACTCTTCATCTCCTTCAACCTCATCCTTCTTCATTTCTATACATCTTCCCTCCAAATCCCGAATTTCTATCTCCTCTCCCCCCAAATCTTCAAATTACCACCCTAAATCATCATCCCCATTTTCCCAAAACACAATTATAAGATGACACATCTCCCCAACCTTCTTATCCGTTGATATTTCTTATCCACTGGCGAATGAACCTCATCATCAAATTCCGGCGTCGATCGATTATTATCTCTACGGATAATTTGCCTGCAGAGATCTATGAAAACTTCATCCACATTTGCTATATTTGATTTTCGTTAGTCTCTCTCGAACTCAAACCGAAACCAAACATCTCCAACCTCTCTCTCTCATCAATCCATTACCGCCGCAACTACCTACGAACCAAACAAATTTCCAAAAAGTAAAAGGAAAAAACTCACCCCTCCTCCTAGCACTCGTCTCATAATACGGTGAATTCCCCCAACTCTGACTAACATTGAAAGCCGCCTGTCGACTAACCATACGATCTTGTTCGAGATCACTTTTATTCCCCACAATCACTATGGGTACATTATCATCATCTTTTATGCGGATGATGGTTTCGCGAAGTTCGCTCAGTTCGTTCAAGGAGCTTTGGGAGGTGATGCTGAAGACGAGGAGAAATCCTTGGCCGGTTTTCATGTAGAGTTCTCTGGAGGGGGCAAGTTAGTGGGAAGTAGGAGGAAGGGGGTTGGAAGAATCAGTTGGATTGGAGTGTAGGTACCTCATGGCGGCTGGAAGGCTGTTAGTTTATATGTACGTGTCATATGATATGGGAACGAATGAAGATGAAAACTTACTGAATTGTTCCGTGCCAGCGGTGTCTAATCTATATCGCGACAAATCAGTATCTAATTCTCAACCCATGAAATGGTAAGATGAATCTCACATCTCCAACATGCATTGTCGTCCCTATCCATCCAAAGAGCCGCGTTAGCATAAAGTTCGTTCTCCACTACCCTTGTTCACCCATTTGCCAAGCCGGAGAATTTCCCCCAACAAACTCACATCAACTTCAATCATCTTTCGATATGAATCCTCAATCGTTGGATCATAACTTTCAATCCAGATATTCTGCACAAATTGCGCTAAAAAGACACAAGCCGTAAATCAGCAACTCGATTTTTGCAAACCCCCTCCTTATTCTCGGATCTCTCCTCCATCCATCCCCTTCCACGTGCCTCCCCACTTCGGGCTTCAAAATTTCAACCCCCCAGCTCGACTCCCCGGAAGATAGTGGGTCAGAATATCGGCAAATAAGCCAAAAGGATCCTTACCGGTTAGGCAACTCTTGCCAACACCACCTTTAAAGATAAACAAACAAAATTAGCCCTCAACATCCTATCTTCATTTGATATCTCTCCACATTCAATCGTTCCTCGATCAAATGATTTGAATAGAAAGGAAAAGGGAAAGGAAACTCACCAGCACCCAAAACCACAATATGATAATCTCTCCTAAAAACCACCAATCACCCATATCAGCCAGCTATCTTCCCGGAACCCCAATATAAAAAACTTTACCCCTGATTCATACCTCCGTGCGTTCCATGCACCAACTACAACCAAAACATCTAGAAGTTCGGAGTTAAAAGCCAAAAAAAGAAACATACCGTGAATTCCTCGTCGCCATCTTGAATTAATTGACAATGTTGAATAAGCTGTCTGTCCTTTGAAGTGTCTTGAAATGTAAAAACCCCTAATATCTCTTCGTACGTACCCTATATCTAGATTATGGATAGATATCACACGTACGTACGTACGATTCCCAAGCTCTCAATTCACGAGACTTTAAAGTTCAACGTGATGTTCACTCTCCGCTCCCAAATAAAATATATCGCATACAAAAGATTCTGTCCGCCCCTTCACCTCAAATATGCAAACGAAAAGTACAATGTAAAAAAAAAATACAAAATTAAATAAACAGATAAATCGGATCGTAGCCCCTCGGAGTCTTTCCCAGAAGATAAAAGTTTGCAAAAATGGTAAATGGCTGTAAGCTCAACAGCACTTGTTGGAGGCTTGATATGATATGCAAATTGAACGTTGAACGTTTGAGAGGAAGTTTTCGTTTGACGCGTACGTGTGTGAAAGTCTTCTTCTTGGATTTCTCAAAATCGTAAGCAAGTATCGGGCCACCTATAATCTTCCAAGTTTCCGTGAGTGGTGGATGGTGGTGAGCAAGAAAAGTTAAGTTTGGTGGTAGTGGTGGTGGTGGTGCAATCGTTTTCTGATTCTCGAATTTCGGGGTTGAAAGTATATGTATGATGAATGTATGATATGTAAAGATTCTTTAGACAAGTATAGTAACCTTAGTCTTTTCGGACGATAAAATTAACAGTGAAGTGAAGAAATGAAAGGAAGTAAAGTGAAGTTAAGGTAAAGGATCCAATCGTTCACTCGTTCGTCGGTTGGTTCGTGAGGCGCGAGATCAGTCCTGTTTTGTCTAAGGTTGGTTGGTATGTGATTTTTTGGTGGTGCAGTTGATTGTGACAGTAGTAGCAAGGTGCTAGTTATTATTCGGATTATCTGTTTTTCCTCCCCGAGTGGATATTTGGATATTTGAGGTTGCTGTTGGCGCTAGAATGTGTACCTAGGTAAAAATGATGTATGAATGTGATTTTTTCTCAATTGAATATTTAAATGGAAGTTCATGAATTAAGAAAGGGAGAGTGAGCGGAAAGGGGAAAGGAAAAGGGGAAGACGGCGATTATGATAATATATTCATCCATTCACATGAAAATAGGTAAGTCGACGCCACAACACCCATCCACCAACGCCAACCAAGAAAGAAAGCACTTACCGGTACTAATTACTACCTAGCACTCGAATATAAAAAAGTATATCATCCTTCGTATATTCTTTCAACTAAACAAGCATACACAAGATTACGACATCTGTCTACAAGTTTCTTGCCATGCAAATCGACAACAATTCTCCATGAGTACCTGAAAACAGCATTTTTCAGGTACGGGAGACCCGGGATTTGGTGTCGTGGCACTAACCTAAGCTATGGACCCTAGAAAACCCTGTGGGAAATTCTTCCTGGGTGGCATGCACAGCCCTAACGATGGATCAAATCATGGCGAGGTTACCCTGACGCCACGTTGTGTCTCTACTACGGAGTACCTGCCTGTCTATTCTTCACGTTGTGAGGAGGTGGTGTGGTGACGCTACGGAGGAATTGTAAATGAATGTACCTGCGGGATGGATGGGAATCGTAGGATATGCATGTGCTGGATTGGGATTTGGATTTGGATGGGAAAATTAAGATGAAATTGAAGATGAAAATCGAAGTGGAAGATTGTAGTGGACGAGAATATAATTTCCTTTACTCGAATAGATAGGATACAGTAGGAATCTGGAAATAAAAATCTGCCAAAGGACGTGAATTATATTCGATTGCAAATATATTTATACAATCCAATTCCAGAGAAGGCATCTTCATCTATCACTAGGCAGATTCTCCTTTCCTTCTTGTACAACCAACCACCTATCCATCCATCTACACATCCATTCATCCATTCATCCGAACTCGAGTAACATTCCATCCATCTCATCTATTCCGTTACACAACACACAAGCACACAACCCACTCTCCATCAAAAAAACACTTTTCAGCCTTCTTTCGAATTCAGCTTGACATCGATCAAGTCAAATGTCGTGTAAGGTTTGGTGCCTTGAATATCGGCCCTTAAGTGGTTGGGGGTAACGTTCGCATAATAATTATAGTATACAATACTCGAATCCAAAGCTGTGAAATCTTTGGAATTTGCGATGAAGGGGGTTCTTTCTCGGGTATATGTCCTGTCGTGTCATCTAGTTAGTATTAGGTAGGAAACACATTTGATAGACTTTTACGATTGAGCTGTGTAGTGTTTTGTTACCGGATTAGGATGCGGTTTTTTTTTGAGTTTGAGTTTGAGTTTGAGTTTGGATTTGTTTCTATTTTTATATATTTATCTATTTTATTTTATCGGGGATGAATTCCCGAATTCCATTACTTACTATCACTCACATCGATATCCCATTACAAACCCAACTTCCATACACCACATATCTACCTACCCTCATTACTTAATATCGCACAAGATACCGGGATAGTAAAGTTACTAGGTATATACCCCCGTTCCTAGTCTAAACATCGCTCTTCACGACGAGCGTAACGTCCACAATACATACACATACACATACATACATATATAAACAAAATATAAAGAACCATCCATATCCATATCCACCACAAATACCTACCCATTCATAAAAACCAACTAATAAGGATCCCACTCCAACCTCCTTTCCAACAAGTAAGATTCCACCGGGACCCCCCTCCATTTACTCGTATTCCCATCCAAACCCGTCACATTCACATCAAAGAACTCCACTTCAAACCCCATCACCTCTTTCCAACCACTAATCAGCCGTCTCCAATAACAAACTTCCGCCGCCGGCGTAAGATATCTTTCTCTAAAAACTTTCACACTCCTATTTGCAATATCTTCTAGGTCTCTAGAATTCTTCATCCTAATCAGCTCCCTCACCTTCCTTTCCAAACCCTGAAACTCCCTATCTACCTCAATATAATTCTGCTTCTCCCCATCCTTCTTCATCAACGGATGGAAAAATTCCATCCACTCCAATTCATGCGCCACGATCACCGATCTACAATTCCTCAGATACTTCAAGCGAGCCGAATATGAATTGCCCTCGGTATGCGCCAAGAATTTATACCGACAATGATCATGCATAGTCAACAAATCATTCCTCATACTCCCCTCATCATGCCAATCCAACGTCTTAACATCCGCCCACTCCTTCCCTCTCGTAACCTCCACAAACCTCTCGCGAACCTTGAGATTCATCGTCGCGCCGCGCCACAATAATTTATCGATTTTGCGACTCCAGGGCCAATCGCCATCGGTGCGGAGCGCCTTCATCTGTACTTCTCCATAACTACCGATTTTCGTCTCCGGCCAGGCCCAGAAGCCGTATTCGGGCATGAGCCAGGTTTCCGTGTGGTGTGCTTGGCGTGCGTATAGCCATTGCGGGTGCCCTTCGAGTCGATCGTCGACGTTCATCGTGAACTCGATGTTGGGGAGGGGCTCTGGGGAGGTGAGCATCGCGCGGTGAAGAGCGTGCAGCGTAGCTAGGCCGCGCGAGTAGATTTGTCCGTGTGTGTCGATTATGTATAACTATGCCTTTCCCATTAGCTGTGATCCCGTCTCAATACCTTCCTTTCATTATTTAAAGGAAATATAGGTAGGTAGGTGAGTGGGGGGAACCACAAACCTGCTGATCATAAATCATAGCCCTGATAAATCCATTCAGTCTTGGCGTATCATCAAGTTCCTTCCTCATAATATTTTTCTCCCTCCTCAACTTCACCGGGCGTTCCACTTCCTCAAACAATCCGGGAAATGCTAAATCGCATTGTCTCTGCGTCAAGAACAAATTCCGATAATCCCTCGTATAATTCCACCTTCCATCAAATCCCAATCTATCACTACTTAGCCCAGCATGCTGCTGCAAAGCATCCACAGCAGTATGGTCATATCCACGCCAAGCACCAGTCTTCTCCCGCGAAAACCTTTCAGGGCGCGATCCACAGAGCAAGAAAAGTAAAGCGAGAAGCAAAGCAAGTATGAAGGGAAGAGGACGACGACAGGCTGCACTGGCTATATCGTTGAAGATCGCCATGTTGATACTTTTCGATGCAGATACATGGAGAAAGAAAAAAGTTGCAAAGAGCAAGAATTCATGGTGTGAGTGCAGTAGATAGATTGAACGATAAAGAGTGAATGAAAGTAAGGGGTGAGTATAATAAATAGATTAAACAATAAAGAGTGAATGGAATGGAAGTAAGGGGTGAATACGCCAGGCGAGGCTTTCAGATATCATATATAAATCAGGAGCGCGTACCTTGTGCGGACAACATAACATAACTTGACATGACTTGACTTATATCATAGATCTACTCCAGTATATCCACAAGACCAAAGAAATTTCTCAAAATTCATCCCATAGAATTGAAAGAAGTTTGTCGTTACGGGGAGTAGAGTTTCAAAACACCGGTCCTGTAAGAAACACCTAGAACAATTTTTGAGTTACGTTACCCAAGATGCACTTGTAGTTATTGTTATTGGAGTTGTTAGAATTATATATATATACTCGAGTATATATTCGAGTATACAAGAACCTGTCCCGTCCCACCAATCAGATTTATATAGTATAGTACAGTAACCCACCTACTTACCTACCTACCTACCTACCTACCTACCTATGCAATTACAGTACCTAGTGAGTTCGGGTATTTTGAGCCATGCTATAGTGAGATTCAATTCATGATATTGAGCATCACATGTAAATGAAGGTTTGTATACTCGAATATAAATACTCCCCATGTGTAACTTTGAATATTATTGTGCTCGAGTACGGAGTACAGCATGTCATTCATGCCTGTACGAAGCGAGTTCAGACAATTTACACTTTACACTTTAAACTTTTGTTATTCTGACAACCATACTACCTATACACAGGTTCAATAGTCATGGTGATCAATTACTTTTATTGTAGAATTATATATGCATTTATACAACAGATGCTGATGTTCCTTGCCACTCATAAGAAACAAGTCTTATTTGCAAGGCATTTCAAAAGCTCCATTCCCAAATGCAATCATCCCCAAGAACTCCGTAGCCAGATGTGCAACCTATCGACCCTCAAAATCCATGACACCAATAGCAATCCTGTTCCATCCCGCTCCTCTAATTCAGCAATAGAAACGAAGCGCCATGGAAACACTTTTGTTCATCGTGTGTATCATGCCCCCCTCCCGCTCCCCAGTCGGTCATATATGTACAAATCATGTGTTGATCGTTCGTGTATCGCATGCAAATTTATTTCATGGCTTGTTTTCCCTTATTCGGCAATGTCCTAAGTCCCGAGCTCCTCGCTTGATCTCGTTCAAGCAAGAGTGAAAGCTGTGACCTGCTTTTACTGAGAGGTCCCGAAGGTGCCGAAGCTACGCTCTGTGATAGACCATTAGACGATGCTACTTGTGGCATTGATTTTTTGGTAAAGAGGTCTTTCATAAGAGTTCGAGCTTTGCCCTTGCCTAGCCCATCTGGAGACGCAGGTGTCGTTATGTTTTGGTTGCTATCGCCTAAATCGAGATGACCAGTAGCATCAGTCAATGTTGGCGCTGAGCTGACGATGCCCTTGAATTGGTGTTGTAAAAGATGCTTTCCACTCGTCTTCCTGTAACCAGGGGGTTTTCCATTGCTCGAATCCTTGGACGTGATCGATACCTGAGAATCTGAACTTGGAGTTCCGGGGGGTAACATGTCGGCAGTTTTAGGATTTTCAAGAAGCATTTTTTGCACCTTGAATTCTGCCTCGCCAACAACATGCGCCGGAGCCTGGTTATTCAGCAGTGTCTTGAGGGGGTTCGAGGGACCAGGCTGGGTGGACTGGGTGGGCTCTACCTCGACAATCTCCTCACTAGTACTTGCAAGTTTGCGCGAACCGCCTCGAGTTGGAACGGCCGATTTGGAGGGAGTCCGCTTCGTAGGTGAGGTTGTAGATCGTGGAGGTAATGTGTTCTCCTGCGTGTTCTGATTTCTGATAGGCTGTACAGACAACGGTGGTGGCCTTCCCAAAAGTCTGTTCTGTTGCCCTTGTACACCTGGAGCTCTTGCCGCGCTGTCATTCGAAGACTGTGAAGTTTGTGAACTCTGTCGCCTGACAACAACCGGTCTCTTCTTCTTGGAAGCCGACGCAACAAATTTCTTATTTGCCGGTGCAGGCATTAACTTTCTATCAACCTTCCCTTTCTCGATCTTCTCGTCGATGGTATTCGTCTGCTCAACAGGTGGTGAAGGTGATTGTACTACAACATGCTTGTTTGTGTTAACAGCATTTGACTCATCTTCTGAGACTGCCGGGGATATGAAACGTGCAGTCGGCCGAGGGCCATTTCCTGAAGGACCTCTGGTCTTCTTCAATATTGGAGGTGGCATGGGAGCAGGTGTTCGCGAAACTGATGTTGGCGTGGTACTTGGTCGGCTCTCGTTGCGAGCACGGGCAACAGAGGTACTCGAGGCGGTTTTTCCAATACAGGCTGCACTATTCTGATAATCCAAAATTCAGTATGACTCCATGGTTTCTTAACAAATTTTTGCATACCATTGGCGTGTCACTTTCATAACGATTGGGTGGTCCTTTAAGTGGCACAAAAGTGTCTCCCTCTGAAATATGTACGAAGAGTCGAGCAACAGTCGAAGCATCCAACTCTCGACGCCGACTTCCCCATATCCGCCACCAATAATTCTCCAAACGCTCAGCTGTAGGATCGAGAAGTCTTCGTTTTGTTGTGGTGTAGACTACAAGATAAATAAGCTCAATACTCTACCTTTAAACAAGAGTTGTCAAGTACCTTTCCAGAATCTGGCTATTTCCGCTGGATCCAAAGGACTATTAATTCCCTCGATGGTACTTCCAATTTGCGGAGAATTGACGACGATGCCTTTGGGCAGTATCAACGCCATCTTCTCAACGTCACCAGAACCGAAAGTTGTGAAGCGACTGCAGCTCTTCTATGGCAGGCAGCTAGCCTACCTAGAAGTTGCTGCGTCACTGTGAAGGGAAAGACGCTTTTGCAGCTTATTCAGAAGCTGAAAACCAAGCAAGGAACAAGGTTTTGGATATTGACTTTGGCTGGTTGTAGAAAGGGACGAGAGTCGTTACAATATTTCGGTAGCAGGACAAGGTTGTGTAAGGAAGAGATCCAGGATGATAAAAAAGCTAGTCAAGCTAAGAAAGATAGTATGAGCTTTAGTATTTGAAATTTCAAAATAAAACTTCTGGAAGTATTTTAAACCTTCCAATAAGATTCCGTGTCCGAGAGATGGAGAGATAGAAAGAAAGAGAGAGAAGAGAAGAAGAGAGCTAAATAAGGGTTTGTTATGTGTATTATTAGTACGTACCAACGACCAGCCAGGAGTTGGTCAAAATGACAAAAGTTACTGGTTCGCAATTGATCTGAGGAATGAGAATTTGTTGAATATGTGAATATGTGAATATGTGATTGTGTGTGAATGTGTGTGAATGTGAGAATTCATATAGTGAATTTGTAAAGTTGGATGAGTAAAGACATCTGAGTCAGTTTGATCAATTCGATTTGTCGTCGGTTTCTGAAGTCTGAAGTCTGAAGTCTGAATGAAGTCTGAATGACAGCTATTCATCAAGGAAAAGTTCAAATTAAAAAAATTAAAATTTCCATGATAGATAAGTAAATCGAGTATTTTATTATGAAATCAAATAATAACGTGCACGGTACTGTATTGCTTGCTTGTTTCCTTTCGTACTCGAGTACTCAGCAGATACAGATATGAACAGATAGGTAGGTAGGTATGAATGGATTATGAAGCACACAGGAAAAATACGAAAAAAGTGCTGGTACCGTTAGGTTTTGATATCTGTTTTTAGTACATAACTCAATCAGGCAAAACTCCTATTTAAATAATTATTAGTTGATTGATCGACACTTATTAGACTCGGAAAAATGGTAAGAATCAAGAAAGAAATTTGGAAGCCTTGCTGAAAGGGATACCGTATTACCGGTAGATGGACCATCGATCAAAATGGAGTCGAGTCTGGGAGATCATATAAAGTGGATATGACAAGGCTGTTGGTTGTTGATTGTTGATTGTTGGTTGCTGGTGGTTGTTTTATTTGAATTGGCTTTTACATCATGTACTGTACAGACGGTATAGGAATGTATGCAAAGAATGTATTCCAGGTTGGATTATTGGAAGAGATCTCAAGTAATAATTTCTGTCCTCTCGCTCTCTCTCTCTATCTCTCGCTTTTCTCGGCCGTTATGTCGTTATGCGAAAAAACTTATGATACTTGACGGGATCTTAGATTTAATCAAATCAAAACGGTGGGAACCTCGAAGGGAGTAGCCGGTGTTGGGTGCTGGGTTGCTGGGTTGCTGGGTTGCTGGTGCTTAGTAGAGATCTTAAGTCAGGGTTGTTATCAATTCAACTCGGCTTGTTCTGTCAGCTTTCGTTGAAGTGATGTTGAATATCATCGATATCGTGATTTGTTTGTATGATACAGTGGAGATGGAGAGATGATCTCGCAAAAGGAAGGAATAGAAAGAGGCAAGGGAAAGATGATGAAAGTAACCGTTTCTCTCTTCTAGGATGCATCCCGTCGATACGGTATCACTCATGTATGTTCTTCTCTCCTCTGCCAAACATTTTCAACTATCACAAGAACCATTTCATGCGTAGGTATGCATTATAACCATAACTAAGCCTAGTCCGAAAGAGACATATATTGAATTGCTCTCCAATGTATTCCTTTCCATTGTATATGTGGATGTAACAACAAGGATTGAGAAGCTCATCCATCTTCCATTCGAAAGAGCTTGATGGGGAACCGAGGATCTCTATCCATTCCTGGGTATCACAAACAACACAAAGCATGCTGTGTTGAACGGCAATTGCAATTGCAATTGCAACGACTCATGACTTGTGACTTGCTTGCTATAGGAACTTAGGAAGTAAGCAAGCATCTTGTCATCCTGCGAACAAATATGAGGTTATACCATCTGCCTTTCCAGCCTTTACATAGGTAGCTGAAAAGCCTTGATGTGGAGAACCTAATTATACATAATCTTATACTCGAGTAGTATCAATGCAGGTTGATTTGAGGGATACGATGAGATGAGATAAGATTGACATGAGAATATCTTCGTTTCTTAGCTCGTTCGTTCGTCCGTCTCGTTGAAGAACATTTGCATCATCGTTGTACAATTATATACACTTATCGAATAAGCCAATAATAATCATGTTACTTTTGGAAATCGGCAATATACTACCTCCTCCCTAGGTAGCTCAATGTATATTCAGGGGCTTACGACATGCATTAAAGCACGAGGCAAAGAAAAAAAAGTATGGGATACAACGCGAGGCCGGTTTCTAGCCTTGAAACTGCCCCGAGCAGTGACAACAGTCTCGCATTCGAATTATGATCCATGGTACACGGTCTTATAAATCTTACAAGACATTACTCAATCTTACCGACTTAATCAACTATTCGGACTCACCGCCATCGTGAGATACTGATCGGTCTTCGGATAACCCATGGGAAAGCGCATCTAATCACTGATCACGAGCGAGTCATTGCTTGCTTCCTTTTGAGACACAGCAAGCAAAGTAAAGGGAACAACAAAAGCAAAAGAAGCAAAAGTAACGAACCAGACAAGGTCAATCCTTTCATCCCCCAAGAATAATCCCAACAAATACACATTCTCCATGCGACAACAAATCTCAGCCTACAACCTACATACCTTCCTATTCTATACTTTCTACCATAGCTTCCGTCACGATTTATCCTCGTTACATCTTACAATACTTTCGATATGTCGCGGAACCCTTTCCGATATCCAAGTATGGAACCGTTTCTGAACATCTGACCTCTTTTTTTTTTATCTCTCCGCCTCAATCTAAAGAAACGTCGTGTGACGCTTCATTGTACTCCCGCAACATCAACATCTCATTAGCAATCTAGAGTAACCACCACGATCCCATCCCAAACAAACAATCTATGTACGGATAAGTTGAACATCAACCATAGAAAATATCGAGATTTTCGAACCCAAAACATCTGAACCAAGATATCTACAACCAAGAATATCTGAATCAAGAAGATAGATATCCTAGCCAATCTTTTCCTTTTTTTTATATTGCATTTCGATATTTCTTAGAAATCCAAAAAAGTTACCAAACCCCCGGATTTTGGACCCCACTCAATATGAGCTCCACATGACTTACAATGTGCAAACGAACAATAAGGTAAACAACAACAAGTCAAATATGAATTCGGTATACCAAAACAAGACTTTGACAGATGGGATAATCCGTTTATTTCATTTGGCATCATCTCATCAAATCAATCTTGGGAATTACTCGAGCCTCATGCCTAGGTAACTTAAACCTCAAACCTCAACAAGCCTCATTCATCATTTTCAAGAGATAGGCAGAAAAATAGGATCTCTCCTATCCAACCACCTGTCCCGCGTGTTTCTCATGTTTGTTTCTCATCTCCCTCATCTCCCTCGTCTCCCTCGTCTCTCTCGAGTCTCTCTTTTAAAAAAGAGCATGCCCCCACGTCCCAATCAACCAACACACTTTTCAATGTCTTTCCGAGACACAATCTTCCTCACAAATCCAATTCAGGGGAACATCAGCCATGCCACCGAGCCGCCCCTTGCTCTTTATCTATCCCTCCCTAGAATCCATCCCTACCCACGCACAACCCTTCCATATAAGGTAATCCACCGATTTCTCACTTACTCTTACTCGCAAGAATAACCCAAAGATTCCTTCCTTCCTTCCAACCTTCTAGCTTCTTTTCTACCCCATCAAATTTCAGAGTAAGTTTCAAACTATCCATCTATCCACCCATCCATCCTTCTAGAAACGTGTTTTCGTTCTCCATCCCCAGTTAGTCAGTCAGTCCCTTGAATATCGCATCTCATCCTACCTAGCCTAGGTGGGGAGGTATTTCTACGCCGAGCAAGCATCCAAAATATACTCGTATTGAATTGGGCATCAATATCAATATCAACAACTCCCTGGTACTTAGGTACCTACTACCCAAGTACCTCAAACACACCAGCCTACCCGCCTACCACCTCGCTTACACCTAAGGTAGGTTAGATGAGCCTCAATGAATAATAAATCATCATTCAAATTTAACAAATACCTCACCTCACCACCTCACCTCACCTCACCTTTCTCTCACTATGTCCGATCTTCATATTGCAAATCCAACTGCAAATTACAAATATAGGTAGGCATAAGGTTACAAGAACAATAATAGGGCCAGATACCCAGGTAAACAAACCCCAGCTGAACCCATTTAAAGTTCCAACAAACAGATATAAACTTCCCGGATTTCCTAATCTGGTATCTCTTATATCATATCTTATAACTCGTATATCTCACCAAAACATACAGAGTAAAGTCCATACAAAAAAGCAAAACCAGAAAGTAACAAGTCAGCCGATATACCTTCCAGCTTCATTTCAGCCTTCAGCCTTCAGTCTTCAACCTTCAGCCCCAGAAGCATACCTACCCAGCATTGAAATTTCTCTCGGTACTTGTACCTACCTCGTAGCTACCTAGAACAATGTCATCTCAGGTATACTCAGTAGATAGCTAGGGCAAAGTATATTTGTATATGTATTTGTATTTCTACTCAAGTACATAGGTAGGTAGGTATCTTTGCGACATCACATTATATCACTTCTCCTCACTTCACATCACATTATGTTCTACTACATTGTATTGAATATAATATCTATTTACAAATACTCGAGTTACATATATCCACATCTGCATTCCTGGAATATATCTATCCATGCTGTGTTGTACTCGAGTACCACAAACACAAATTGGTCTGTTGTATTTGTATAGACATCCCATCCTATCCCATCTCATCCCATCCCATTAAACCCAAATATAATAAACTACCTACCTACCCACATACAACAAATCACCACCCACACTACCCACACTACCCCATTCCCCCATTACCCACCCCATCCATCAACCACACCACCACCACCCCGATTTTCAGGGGTCTCATCACGAGTTCAAATCGGAGATTTTATTGGGGCTGCTGTGCACCATTATCACATCACAAGTATGGTGTGTGTGTGTGTGTATGTGTGTTACAACACTGTATAACTATGGAAAGGGGACAGACAGAGAGAGTAGGGAGTTGAGGTTACACGTGATATCATGGATGAACGCGATGCAATGATGAAAGATTTTCATGAATGACATTTTGGCAGGTTGGACAAGTGACATGATGAGTGACGAATGAAGTATGTCTGTAGGTAGCACGTAGCAAGCATACTGTATGAAAATTCTATGTCTGCTGTGGTGAGAAATTTTTATAGATTTGTCATGCATGCTACATTAAGCCGAGTTGGGAGGGAGGGGAAGGAAGCCATAAGCTATCCCCACCTCTTACTCGGGTTCGAAAGTCTATAATATCTCTAAATATAAGAAAAAGCGCTATAAACAGATTTGATGACCCGTTGAAGATGAGGATCGATTATGTGAGGGTATAACCTCCGTCTACTCGTAAATCGGCTGGAGATCCTGTCAGCAAATTGGCTCAAAAGGGAGTGCGGAGAATATATTTCTTACCTCCAGTAACGTAGTTAGATGCATCTGACGAGAGAAAGGTAACGGCTCCCATGAGATCTTCGGGCTGACCCATCTTACCCTGAGGAATAAGGGAGGTCCATTGTTTCTTCAAGTCTGGGTTTTCATCCAAAATCTTCTTGGTTCTAGTATTTTGTCATCAGCATTGCCTTACATGAAAATTGCACCCCCACGGGGTCTTTCTGGGGCTCAAATCTTACAATGCGGTCAGCATATATCCAGGGGAGATGCAGTTGACTCGGATGCCAGCGTGAGCCCATTCGACAGCCAAGGATGAGGCGAGATGTCGGACGGCAGCCTTGGCTGCGTTATACGGCGCTTGAGGTTGTGGAACATTGACGATGGCACCGGACATACTGCCAATGAACACCATACTTCCCGGAGCCTTACGCTCCATCAAGTGCTTTGCGACCGCAATTGCAAACAGGTATGTTCCATCCACGTTAACGGCCCACAATTTTCGTATCCGATCGATGGGGTAGTTGATGGCCTCGAAGTTCTCTGTGAAACCAGCTGATGTCACTAAATTATCGATCTTTCCGTGCTGTGAGATAATTTCGGCTATGGCATTATCGACGGATTCTTGGGAAGAGACGTCTGCGTAGTGCGCCGTAACCTTGGGAACACTACAAAGATATGTAAGCCTTCGTGGTACAATAGTAGATCAACGATTGACTTATTACTTTTCGGCTCCTGGGTTCTCTCTTTTGAATGAAGCCATAAGCTCCCCGGCTTGCTTTGAGGCTTCGTCCTCTGTTGTCCTTTTAGCACAATATCACCATCAACTGTGCAAATGGCACATACTATTCATATCAACAATTGCAATATCGGCACCACTAATAACCATGGCTTGACTCATGACAAGTCCCAAACCTCTGGCACCTCCAGTAACGACACCAACTCTTCCTTCTAGAGAGAAGGATGCAAGTGTACGCTTGAAGTGAAGCCCACCTCTGCCTTGTACTGGTGCACTGGATGGCAATTCATGTTCTTCTGGATATTCAACGTGCACAGAGGAATCGGTTCTTGCGAAGGAACCTTCGTGTAGGGGGTCGTCGATCTTCTCGCGAAGGTAAGATGTGCTGTGAATTGGTCGCGAGGATAACGCTGGTGAGGTGCGAGGTAAAGCTGCCCTTGTTGAAGCTTTGGCAGCCCGAGCTGTATGTCGAAGAAGTTGTGTTCGGAACATTGTCGATATGATTGTGATTCTGCTGTTAGGAGACAAATATCCACCGACTAGAAAGAAGAGATCTAAATGACAGGAGGGATGATATTATAGAAGAAGACGCGGAACAGTTCACGATATCCAAAAAGATTTAAGAAAAAGGTCAATTGAAAGATGGAAAACGAAATATTGGAAGAATAGTGACTATTCTTATTAAAAGGGAAGTATTTCAAGAAAATTGGTACTTAGTTTGAAGTACTTGGGATGAGAAACGACAGCTACCTACGAATAGTTTGTACTAGGGATTGTTGACATCATCTGACAGTGCAGCTCCCAGCTCCTCTCCACTAATAGGAATGGAAATAATTGGGATTTCAGTGGAGATATCCATCAACTCGGTCTCGCTGCTATCGAGTTTTGCTACACCGAAAGTACGGGGAAGATAAGTAAAAGTTCAATATACAAAAGTAGAGAAAAGACATGGGGAAAGAATAGTGGCAAATGTGAAAATTGTCCAAAATGATATACGAGGTGTGATTGTTGAGACTTCAATAATTGAATTGCAGTAGAATTGCTCAACAGGTCTTGAACTCCTTCTCTGTAATTGATGGTAACAAGTACGAGGTACAGACCGCCGACAGTACAGTGCAGTACGTACAGTAGTACAAGACCCAAATGTAGTCAATCACATTTTGACAAACATGCATCGTGAGATTTTCTCTAAGCTTACCGACCTAAAGAATGAATGGATCGGCGAGCCGGAATGTATTGGCTTCAATCTTTCGCTTGATGGTTGCTGACAATGATTACATAATCATTTCTTATCAATCAGCCACATATACACTTGCCACACTACATTTGCCGGAATCATCTCTTTTCTACATTAACAAATCCCTGTGATTGGCTCATTTAGTCTAATGACACTTAGTGGAGGCTGTGCGCCACTAGTGCACCTCGCTGCTTCCTTTGACTATTCGACCCATTGAGACGCTCAGGCTCGATATGAAACCATAACTTCCTCTTCATCTGTTCGACACAACAACCTACCGCAACCTACCTACACTCACTCACTCACTCACATATTTCTCGAAAAATCTATACATTTTCTGATCACAACAATATTTCAAAAGACCTTATTATAAAGTAGCAGGTCTACTGGTCTCGAAAATATCCATTTCCCTTTAAGAAGAACGAACACAACAATACCCCACGATATCTCATTCCATCGATCCACACTCAATATGCGCTTCATCACAATCGGAGCGGGTGCTGCTCTTGCAACCCTTACTCAAGCATTTCTACTTCCTCCAACTATCTCGAAAGTTGATAGCGATATCGTAAATGCCTTATCTTTCGACGCTGCCATCGAGGCAGACGGTAGAATGCTGGCTGTCGACTGTCCTGGCTGTCCAGTTTTTGCTCGCGATCATCAAGGAGGTCGACACGATTTGAAGGCGGTGAATAGACTCATGTTTAATTTCTCCGTCTCACACGATAACGGACTCGATCGCGTACTTTTGAATGGACTTCAATTTTATCCCATCGATATGGAATCCAGTCTCGAACGTCTTACAGCTCCACAAATGATCAAGACAACAGAATCCAAATGGGTCCAAGCCGCAGAACCCGATCTTGGTTATGCTTTACGCATACATAAGCCGATATCATATTCAAAGCAAGATCAAATTGACTTGATCATCGCAACCCTAGAGATTATCGAAGTGAGAAACACATTTGTGGATACGGTTGATAGCATCGACCTCAAGATTCTTACAACATCAAGCGGAAAATTGATGATTGGTGATGCGCAAGTTACACCACGACCACCAAAGAGCCATTTATCTAATCCAGCTGATGATGGACAAGAATGCACAACGTTGCTTTGCAAATGGAGAGCCATTATTACTGATAAACTTTCGGCTCTCAAGAAAGGCTGTGGTGGCAAAGCTCAACCGGATGCTCATCACAATAGACCTCAGGGTAATGGACGTCCAGGTCCTCACAGTCATCATGGCGGCCATGGTGATCATGGTAGACCTCATCGATTTTCTCACAAACACCACAGTATCACCAGGTTCTTGCGGGGTGTTGTCTTACATGTCATTATTCCAGTCATCGTCGGAATTGTCGCCGGAATCACTGCCAGTCTTGTTGGTATGATGGTCGGACATGTTGTTATCTTCGTGTGGCGTTCATTGTTCCGCAGAGGATCTCAAGGCTCATACACCAAGGTTCAACAAGAAGATGTTGTTGTCGAGGAAGGTATCGAAGAAGACAAAAGCCTTATCCAACATCAAGGACCACCTCCGGTTTACGAAGATATTGTCAGGGAAGTCAAGGCATAAACAACAAGTTGAGAGAATACAATGGAATTGAAATGAAGTTATGCTGTGGGATCTTAGTAAAGGCTCTACCATAATCATACAAAGGGAGGCTGAATCGGGAAAGGGGGTTATTTTAGGAGTTTTTATGGCAAGATTGATGAGAATGGAGGAAAGGAAATGATCTGGGGTTTTAAGGAGGTCTCAGGGTCAGATAATGAGTAACAAGTACCAATTTGCTTTTTAAACAGTGTGCCAAATGTATGAATAATTCAAGCGATCGTCTATTACATCGGGATACTCCCGTATCTATCATATCATATTATAGCACATCGAACTATACAATGTTCCTTTGGAATGAATCACAATCCACAAAAGTTCATCAAGGTGATTGATTAGGTATAATAGATTTGGTAAAAATTCGCTACTCAAGTAAGTAGATAGGTAAAGTAGTCAGTTACTTAAGTCCCGAAAACTAGAAAAATAATCCGGATTCCAGAAAAGGTAACAAGGTAAGAAGGTAAGAAGGTAAGAAAGAATAGGAAGAAAGGGGAAGGTGTAGGAAGGTGTAGGAAGGTGTAGGAGTTGGATTTTGATATTGGAATGGGCACCAAGGTATCCATCTCTTCTCCTATCGTTTCTCTTCTCTTCTCTTCTCTTCTCTTCTTGGGCTGGCTGGCTTCAGTTTCCTCCTACGTTGATACTTTCTCGCCTTTTCATCGGCAGTTTGGATGAAGGAGGGGGTTTATTTGCAACCCCGCCCGACCCCCCTCCTGCCGCAAAAGTAAAACATTCTCATTCCAACCATTCCAACCATTCCAACCACTCCCCCCTTCCCTCCTCCCCCAAAAATGCAAAAAATAGCAAAAGAATAAAATCTCCCATCCCATGAGGATATGGCCAGGCCAAGCGGGCTCTTTCGTAGCTTGTTTGTGCCTAATTGGTGTATCAAATTTTCCTGATCGAAGTCAAGCTTTTGTTTATTGAACTAATTCGCCTTTTTGGTTGTTTATCGGATATATATAGTGTAAGTGAGTAGTGTAAGTGAGTAGTGTAAGCGAGGCTGGGGAGATTTAATTGGAAAGATTGGGGTTGGGGTGGATGGATTGATGAGGTGAGATAGGGCGAGGAAAGGCGAGGCGAGGCGGTTGCATGCATGTTACTTGATTGTTGAGATTGGAGGAAAGGAAGGAAGGGAGGGAGGGAGGGACGGACGGAGGGAGGATGGTTTGGAGGTTTGTGTATGTAGTGTTCTTTATTTTATGTGGTTTAGTTTTGGTTTGCTTGGGTTGTGTTAAGTTGGATTTGGATTGGATTGTGGAGTGTATATGTATGTGTATATATTTGAAGAAATGGTAAAAGGTAGAGGTTAAATAGTGTATGGGTTGTTTGTAGTGAATGGTTTGGAATATGTGTTTGGTTGGGGGAATTGGGGGGGAGGGAGTTACGCGAGCAGTATGGGGTATGGAGTATGGAGTATGTTCCTTTGTGGGGGTTTTGATTTATGAGGGAGTTTGTGGTGAGGTTTGTGGTGAAGTTTGTTGGGAGTGGGGAGGAGATGGGGATGGGGTTAAAGATGAAGATGGGGATTGGGAAGGGGGGTGTTGATTATGGATGGGTGTGAAATATGAAAAAGTTGGATGGATGTGTTGAAAGTTGGAAGTGAGATTTTATGGGATTGGTATGGTATGGTATGGTATGCTGGTGTTGATGGAATTGGGATGGGGGTGAGGATAGAGATAAAAATGGAAATAGAGATGAAGGAGACAAAAATGAAGATATAAATGTAGATAAAGATAGAAATGAAAATGAAGATGGAGATAGAGATGGAGATAGAGATGGAGATGGGAGGATGAGAAGGAGAGACAAGGTGAAAAGTGAAGATGCGGAAGAGGAAAATGTTTCGGGAAAACAGTATGAATCTGGTATGTACTCTATTATATATACGTTATCGCATATCGCATATGCGGCATCGAATGAGGATCTATGATGTGCAAGCAAAGGTGAAGGTGAATCTTACGATGAAGAGGGAGATGTATACAGTATGTTCTCTGATAGATTTCCAGTTCGTTGCATGGAAGTGTACAGTACGGAAGAGTGGATTTGGCAAGGGAGATGAAGTGGAGAAAGCTCTTCTTGGTGGTGCTGGTGTATTCCATGATGAGAGAGGGGAACATAGAAGAGAGGAAGATCAGGTGGAGAATTAGAAGGTTTAGGGATTTATGGTCCTGTTGGAATGGTACTAGGAGGGGATGTTGGAAAGGAGCTAAGTAAGAAGGGTGAGGGTGAGCCGGAATAATTATGATAGAAAGAAGGTTATTTGTTTGGACTCATGGTGAGTGATGGTGAAGTAAAACGGTCTGACGGAATGTTGGAGGGGATTCAATAGACAATTAAAGGTAAGGGGAGTTGGAGATTCGGAGGAGGTGTGGATGAAGAGGATGGGGCTATCGGCATCAATACCGGATATTGGATTCCTAGCAATGGGATAGATGTAAGTTGGTTCTGATCACCGGGAATTTGATGTATAGTTTGAGATTAATGTTTGAGAATGTATAGGCCATTTAGTTGAGGTAAGTAGATAACTGTATTCGAGACTTGAGGTGAGCCTGAGATGAGTGAATATCTAAGGTCTAAAACGTCAAGGAGAGTGCGTATTTAAACGAGTAGATATCTGAGAAAGTGGATCTCTCATAAGGCATGTATTTCGAGAGGCTATATATCTAGGAAGTTGAATCTCCGTCCTTGGATACTGAAATCTGAGAGAGCAAATTTATATCTAGGAGAGTGAATATAGGAAAGTGAATAGTGGAAGAAGCTGAATTTTCGAAGCGATGCTAAGTGGATGAAATGAGTTGGAAGTCTGAGAAATGGGTGAAGACCGAATATCTGAGCAGAGGTGAGTACTTGAAAGAACTCAAATGTCAATTTAGGATGATTGATTAGTTGATGCGACAAAAATTCGAGATGAGGTGAGTATTTGAGTGACTTAAATAACTTAAACAGCCCAGGAAGAGCAAGACTATCTAGTTTAAAACGCTCTCCATTTACTTATCGGTTCCCCTGAGCTAAGCAGTGAACTCCAAGCTCAATGCTTCTTCTCCACTGGCAGCATTTCACAATTATCAATACAGCTTATATAAGGCTTACAAGCCGACTTTGTGCTTTATTGTCATTTTTGTAGTCGTAACATAGAGAATGCTCTATGTGCCAAGCTGTTATCATCTGGCTGGTCAGAATATTTGATATTGGGGCCTAATATTCTTCATGTAGTGGTGGTGAGAACATGACAACACAAGGATAGGAGTAACGAAGGAAAATTGATACTTGGAAAACACCGATCCCTAGATTAAAAAGAAAGGTTTTACTATGCAACATCTTGAGGAAGGCACAGAAGATATTTTGCCTCGAATAGCACAAACGAAACCCTTTATTTGATCAAGAACCGAAGACTAAAGATCTAACTAACACTTGCTCTATAGATGATGGAACAACATTCTTTAGATGTTCAAATTCTCTGAATGTCAAGTGGTTTGGAAGGTCTAATCCATATCCTGGCATCAACTATTGGAGATTGGTACATATATCAGGAGCAAACGATCCACAATCTTGTGCCCACTGGCCACATTGATATTGCGCAACAGGGTGAGAAGGGAATCAGAAGAGAATCCTGCCATCCGGTCAGACAAGTCGGCTTTCATGCCAGAATAACAACATCTAATATGCATGACTGATGCGATATTCATCAATGTAAACCTCAAGGATACGGATAACATCGGATTTGAGCCCCTGTGTGTGGGTTTTTATCAACGGGGAATGCCCAATACGGCAGAAACCCATAGTGTCATCTTCCTCCTTGGGTCTCGAATCCGATTTGTTCATACCCCTTTATGTATCATCTTGCATCAAACGCATCTTCATCGGCGTTGATGTGGGACGAATGCTGTGTGTGAACTTTAAAAAACTGCGGGAATAGCCGAGGCAAGACTTTTCACTTTGTTTTTATCCACTGGTGGACTTGTCTTTTTCGACCACCTTACACATCTTGATCCTCATTCTTACAGATATTTGAACTATATTTTCACAGCTTTCCTTTTCCTACAGGTCAAATCATTGTGAATATAAAAGTCGATTTCTGCACGCTCAGCGGTGAGACGAAAATGATACGATGTGTCCCTCCAGAGTCCGTATACGATGAAGCCATCTCTATGCTGCTCCAAACTCTCAATCCCATGTGTTGAATCGACATCGGGCGAAGAACGCGAGATGCATGTTTTCAATATCTGTACTGCAGCCAAAGAAGAATACACCCTGCAAAGTTGGTAGCGGAACATCATGTAACCTGTTAGAGTGATCTCTCAGGGTCCTGTCCCAAAGATAGGGAATCAGCTCCGATAGCCTCTGCGCTGAACCTCATGTACGGTAAGACTTGCAGCTGCAAGCACCACTCGCCCCGTTCTCATAACGGCGCCTTAATCATGCATCTCTATTTTTCGACTTCATCAAGTTCAGAGAAAGACGCAAGATATTGGCTTGAAGTCTAGCCACGCCCAAGTTGCAACTCAGAGGAAACCTTTGATTGCTCTTGCATGCTTTCATCTATCTCTTCGTCTATCCAGCCAACTCATCCATCTATCCAGCTAACTCATTCATCCAACACGGAAAATTACCCACTGCCCTTCAGCAGTGCAGGTGAAAATTCCTTCAATTTTATTGCACCAATCACATATAATATAGCTAGAAGTATATTAGTATATAAGACCGAGCTTTTCTTTCAAAGTATACTTCCTCATTAAACATTGACCTTGCGTGCAAGTATTCCATTGACGATTGCTTCCTTGAAATAATTTGATGATCATGCATTCATTCATTTCCATCCTTTCCTTAGCGGCCACCTTTCTAGGGATGGTCTCTGCTGCTCCAATCCTAGAGACACGAGCAGTCGCCCGTATCTCCGCACCATCAGGTGCGATCATAGTCGATAACACTGGTGCTACATCAGGATCATACACCACCTTTCAGAAAGGCGTGAATGCCCTCTCCACCACTACCACCACTCCTCAATACCTCTTCATCCACCCAGGTACTTATACCGAACAAGTCTACGTCCCAGCCCTGAAATCCAATCTCACAATCCAGGGTTATACCACGGATGCCAGAACCTACGCCAATAATCAAGCGATTGTAACCTATAACCTCGCTCTCCAAGATACTACCTCGGATGATTTGACAGCTACTTTACGTCAATGGAACAAAAATACCAAAGTCTACAATCTCATCATCAAAAACACATTTGGGCACGTTTCTAAAAACGGTCAAAACCTCGCCATCTCTGCTCGTAAGTTAATTGATCTACTATATCCTTTCACCCTTCATCTCAAAAAATTTCCCTCCGTTAGGAGTTCCTTCATCTACATTTTCCTCACTTTAAAATGCGATTTCAGCTCCTGCATCTCCTTCCGAAAGTCTCATAGAAAACAATCACTGACTCCCGATGTTAAAGATACCACCAACCAGGGATATTATGCCACACAGTTCATCGGGTATCAAGATACCATCTTGGCTAATACCGGCACGCAACTCTATGCCAAGTGTCTCGTCGTCGGCGCCATCGATTTCATCTTCGGTCAAACCGCTCTTGCCTGGTTCGAGGGTAACGATATCCGTACGATTGCCGCGGGATCAATCACTGCATCCGGACGCTCTTCCTCAAGCAATCCCTCCTGGTATGTGATTAACAATTCAAATGTACAGAATAGCAATTCCAGCGTAACCACGTATAACAACTACTTGGGACGACCATGGGAAGACTATGCACGAGTCGTTTTCCAAAATACTTATCTGGGAAACAATATCAAGGCTGCCGGGTGGAGTGTTTGGAGTAAAAGTACGGCGAATACAGATCATGTTACTTTCGAAGAGTATGTTTCCCCATTTCCATATTTCTGATCTCGCTTGAGACTTCACATTTTCTCTTCTCCCATGCCTCATGCCTTATTTTTGCAACATATCCTCTCTTCCACCGTTTCCCTACTTTCGCACCCATAGAATTACACTAACATCCTCCAGATACGGCAACACAGGACCCGGTTCCATCGCCTCCGAAGGACCCCGAGCAACGTTTAGTTCTTCAATCAGTTCCGCAATTAAAATTACCACGGTTTTGGGAAGTGGATATTTGAACGAATGGTGGGTTGATAGCAGTTATTTGTAAAGGGATGTGAATGAATGGATGGGGAAATTTCAAAAAATATATAGATTAAATATTGGAGGTCTGGGTATATTTTGAGTATATTAAGGTTGAATTAATGATAAATGATTGATGATTTCGCATTTACTTTATTTACATGGTCTTCTAGATCTTGTTATGATGCTGATGGTCAGATAGATATACTCCCGTGGGACTCGGAAGTACAGTATTGGTGAGTTTGAACTTTTGAACCCGGGGAAGATGTTGTAGGTCTGAGGATGTGAATGGTTCAGTAGAACTCAAATTCCCTCGCAACTTGCAATCTTCTGGTGAGAATGACGCTAGTAATGTTTGATACTCTGATAGGACTAGATACCTACTGAGTACAGATTACAATATCCTAAATACATCTAAAGATTCACTCATTCCAAATATAAATACAAATCCCATCCAAACCCAATCTCATCTCATTTCAGAAAAGCTAGTAGTCTAGCCCGATGTTCTCCTCGATCGGAGATTTGATTTATTCAATTTTAATAGAACTCCGAGTCTCCGAATTATTGGCAGATATAAGTCATATTTCGCGTATATATTTGGGGACGAGTGTATATATGAATAGTGTAATATTGATATATGATTGTATATAAACGAGTGAATTATAAGACAGTGAATTATAGAAAGATGAACTAATTATATATAATCAGATCCTGAGAAAGGATATGAATTAAGTAAAATGAAGGGGGGTGAGTTGATGAATAGACTCAATCTCCCAAACGAACTGGAAATCATAGACTTTTCCAGCGTATGCAAACTCTTCTTCTCTCCTCTCCTCTTCTCTTCTTAACTAAAGGAGCCTGAGAGAATTAGATAAATTAAGAGAATAAGTAAAAATTGAAGAGGAGTACAGATTCGGAAAATTATAAGGAGAGGAGAGGAGAAGATAAACTAAAAATTCAAGATTTAGATTGAATACAATACTCATTGTACGAGTAAGTTACTTATATATCACAATATTTTTGAGAATCATTGATTATATATATTTTTTTCATCAAGAAGAAGAATAAATCGATCTATGCAAGGATTAGACAGATTAGAAGAAATGAATAAATCGATAGAAGAGTATAAGGAATTTTAAAGCTCCGGAGAGGAGGAGAGAGGAGGAGGAGAATACTAGATATTTCTAAAAAAGAAGTACTCAGTTCTCCTCTTTGAATACTACGATTCGCGTTAAAACTTAGATTTACTTGGTCATATAAGTAGATAGATAGAGTAGCTGGATGAAAAGAAGAGTAGTTAGCTATGGAACATAATATAATATTTCCTTGGAAGATCAAAAGGAAAGTCTAAAACGAATCGAATGTACAGAGAAGAGCTTTAAAATTTCTTATACTCGAGTATATCCAGGAATAGAAACACTTGTTCAAAATATCTCAGAGTCATCAGCCTTTCCTTTCCAAATCTATATCACTATATTGTTATATACAATACATTACTCAAGTATAGTACTCGAGTACAGTAGTTTCTCATCGATACTGTATATCCATCCATATTTCACACCCTCACACCCTCCCGAGTCCCGATTCCCAACAAGCCACCCCCAAATATTTTACTCGAGTAGAAAATGTATAAAAGAACTACACCTCCCAGTCTCCGTCCTACAAACTTCTGCCCGAACACAAACTAGGGTTAGAATTGAGATACTCCGAGTCCGTGATCCATAATCGATATGATATATGTTGATCAACCCAGTGAACTTGAGTAGAACAGTAATTAGTGCTCACTGCTCACCTGTTTTTAAACTGGCTGTTTGGATCATATACTTGAGGAAACTATACCAAGTTCTAACTGGTTGAAAATGAAGATATACCAAGCTAAACGGGTTGGCAAAACCGATGCTGGTGGTTTCCTAGTGTATGTAGTATGTAGTATATCCCGTTTGCTAGTTTGACCTTGTTTAACTGCCGGTTTGGATTCGATCAACTAGACCAACTAGTTGAAGTTTAACTGGTTGAACGGGTTGATTACTGTCTACACAAATCAACACTATTACCAGATGAGTCAATATGCGAATAATCATGAATCGATATCAATAATACTCGAGTAGAGGACATCGACACAATAAAAATATAGTATATAGATATCCTAACTAAAATTACCAAATTTTCAAAGTCGAGAAGGAAAGAAATTGTGAGATAAAGTTCGATGACATTATCAATTTATGAGATCCTTCACAACTTCTTCGGCCTTCAATCCAACAATCAACCAAATATACAATCTTTTCTCAAGCTTGTCCGAAACACATAACAATGTCCCATATCACCATATAATGTTCAATACACTTCCGGACATTCCTGGTTCGCAACGCCAAAGAACAAAACATGAGTCTGAGATAACGTATGAATACCACGAAAGCAACATATAACGAATATTCTGCCATTAAAAACATCAACATCAAATACACCCACCCACCTCCTTAACAACCCAGCTCCTAATTACCAATAACAACAAAGAACAAAATATGTATAGGTACCTAACCTATTCCCTATTCCCAAACCCAGAGCTTCGAGAAAATATTCTAATACAGTACTATTAATCCACTCGAGTATAAGATAAATCTTCCGGAAACTCGTAGTACTAGAACTACAAAAACTACAAGTGTCCCTCGGGAATTTTGCATTTTGCACGAGAATTGATTTATATATATATATATACTCAAGTACTTGAATCTACACTTGTAGTTGTGTGTATAAATATTACAAATCGGAACAGAATAGAACAAAACAAAAGCAAAAGTATTTTTCTTCAAATAATTACCCAACCCAATACTCGAGTACCGGTACACGATTTAAACCGCTTTAATCTACTCGAATAAATTCACTCTCACATGCTTTTCTTTCACTGGCATCATATCCGATCCCGCGCGCACGATACCCCCACTCCGAGAGTCCCGCAACCGTAAATGTACATACCCCCACTAGTCTTCACCCAGGGACCCCCTTCCCCAACCCTTCCCTCACATTGGCAAACCACTATCAACTCGAATATTTCACCAAGAAAATATATGAGTTGTGAATAAACAAAAGCAAAAAGGTAATGCAACTGCCGTGAATCGAACACGAACCTCCACCTTGGAAGGGTGGAATCCTAACCATTGGACCACAGAAGCTAGATCATTCAGGAATGAATGTTTGCTTGTTTTGATGGAGAGGTGTGCTTGCTTTGAGGCTATACAGATAGTACGGGAGCTAGAACAAAGAAGTTGTTGTGAGTGGTTGATTAGTTTGAGTTGTGGGTGTGGGCGTACGGCGAAGCGAAGCGACTAGGCTAATTGCGTGGTGGAATGGGGGATTAGCTAATAGATATTCTGAGTTGGATTCTCGTGTTGTATTCGTACCAAGGTACTTGCGATAACGATAAGAGGAATAGTTGAAATGATTATGGACTTCCAGATGCATTTGTGATATAGGTAGGGTTGTAAGAAGTTTGAGAATGCCAGTGGGGTGGTTCTTTTTTGCTTCTAGTTGGTTATCTAGTGCTACAAGGAAGATAGAATGGCAACGGAAGATAGGATAAGTGATGCAAGAGACCCGTGGATAGAAATACTAGGTACTTGGAAGCTATTCGAAGATTTGTAGTACAGACATTCCAACTCTGAAATTCTGGGACGAGAGTTTGTGTGTCCTACTGTGTTGAGATGGTAGTAATGATTGTTCTGTAGAGTACTTGAAATTTAAATATTCTCGTCTCATACTGTGAGATGATAGTAATGGCTGTTCGTGAGTTGACTGTTAGAGGTTCTCACCTCATACAAGTTGGATTGTAGTATTGGTAGTGGCTGTTTGTAAGTTGATTGGAGATTTGGAGACGTAATGATGCATCGTGGAGTGCTTTAAACCTAGTTGAGATCTTTACATTTGAACATTAGTTCAATATAACTGAACATTGGTAGTTAGTACGTAGTTAGTACTCGAGTAGTTTGCAAGAAACCAACCAATAGTTTCGCCCAGACATCACCTTGCGGTCCAAATCCTATACCCGGGGGCCTAAGCTTATGAGGTGAAATATGGCCAATGCTAGATCAAAATCAAAAGCCTTTTCCCAGGGGAAGAGTCGAAGAGCCATCCGGAAAGGACTATTGTCAGCCGCACCTGACACCAACGACATTTATAAGCTGATGCAGGAAATACCCCTCATACTACCATCCCACTGAGCTTTGGTATTGCAGAAAAGTAAGCACATCAATCAGCCATTACTAGAAGAGAAAGGATTAATATAGGTACCCAAGTACCAAAGTATTGGCCGTAGTCAACGATCCAATTGTTTGATATAAGACAGCGTTTCCCTTTTACAGGAATTTTTCAATACGATTAAAACCAACGTTTTCGACCCTTGGGGATTTATATGAATGCCGAAAATCTAACACGCCACGAGCATATTTAGTGACCTGTTTCAAATATTCGTCATATCAATCTGTCAAATAAGTTTATCAGCAGCTCACCTTTACAACCAAAACGATAGATTTCGACAACTCCAGAAACCCAAGATGGCGGGATGGTTTGTGTCTTCATGGCCATACAAACAGACTCATCGACCCAACAATTTGTTTGTGCTATACCCTTGTTTTCCTATCCTTTCAAGCCTTGCGGGCGTTAGTCAAAAACCAAGAAACTGAACGAGGGTCGCATCTTCCGGTTAGCGATTAATCCTTGATCCTTGGAAGTTTCATTTGAAAAGGGCTCAAGATGGTTGGATAAAGCTTGCATCTGCAGGGTTTGGTGGGAGGTGGGACAACAGCTTTCGAGCTTTTTAGTCGGCGTCAAAGCTCCTTTCCGTACTGCTTCAAATTGAGTCCCCCCACACACCCTTTTCCCATATTTTCCACTTTTTCTGTCCCAGTAGTTTTGCATAATTGTTCCGTAGCCTCCCGTTGGACTTTAGTCGAAGCGGTGCGCATACTGGGACGTGCGAGGAGAATATATCCTTTGATGGATGGCCGTGATGACCGTGATGGATCCTAAGATTATTTGTGATATGTTCGACGTTCCGTCCTGATATATGAAGGTACAATCTGCAATACAAATCTTCTCACTTGAGAACTCAGTTCGAAATCGAATGAGGGTCGAATAACCTTTTGTCTGTTTGAGACATTCCCACGGGTTGCGACTCCATGTATGAAAAAAACCCTGAGAGTATCAAGATCTCCCCTTGCTCTTTGGAACCAATCAATCTGTGAAAAATGCTGAGCGTTTATTGGAAATCTGCTTGGTGTGACAGTAACAAACGCTTCTTGTTGCTGTTATCACTATCATAGCAACGAACGATTTGGATCGATGGATATGGAAGGTATGGATAAGTTCAATATCTCAAAGGTCTAGAATTGAAATAAGTGATATTCTTGTATATCGTTGCTAAGACGGAGTATTCCCATCCCAAAGCCAATGAAAGCAAGTCGAAAGGTATCACAAAAGAGAAGAAACTTGAATGATGGATCTCTTTATTGTCCGAATTGGGACGAATCCGGAGAGGAAACCACTTATTTCTATCAAGTGTCTAGTTCCACAACCTCGAGATATCATTATGATCATCATTAGAGATTCCAAAGGCGCCGTTTGCCCTTCTTCAAGGGTCCAAGGTACCAATGACTGGTTAGTGAATGAAAAAAGAAAAGGGTGTGTACATTAGGAGCAGATATCCAGCTGGCTTTCCATTAATATTAGTTTCTATAAGAGGTAATAAGGAATATTTGGTTTGGTTTGATAAGAAAAAAAGCATTGAGGACCTGAATTCATATGAAGGCAGGCCCCCAAACCTTCCATTTCGCTGAAATTTGTAGTAAATATTAATATACTTCCTCCATTTCCATTTCAGATACATCTACCATCCCATCCTATCCCATCCCATCCTACACGATCAATGTCCCAATTCATCTTAAGCTATTTTGTCTACCTAATTCTGTTTAGTGCCCCTGATGATTTTGAAGAGTGTTTTCTGGGGTTATTGGTTATTCTTATTATTATGCATCTCAGTCTCTCAGTCGCAGTGTGCAAAGAAATCTCGCTATCTGCATGCTGCACGGAACTAAATTAGCTTAGGTTTATCTCATCGAGTATGAACCAATAGAAAGTAAGAACCTTTCTCCACACAATGTAATTCCCCTCCCCCCCCAATTTCGAATATTCGACCCACCACCACAATCTATCTTTTCCCCCCATACCTCAAACCTCAAACCTCATCTTCACTATCAACACAACAAAAAACACAAGAAAGAAAAAGAGAAAGAAAAAGAGAAAGACAATCCAGTCCAAGTCCAGTCCAGCCATTTCTTCATTCCATTCTATTTAAGAAATTCAAGAAAAGAACTTTTCAACCTCCATCTCCATCATACTTCTATAATCCTATCCCATCGAGTCGTCACACAACTCTTACAATCCTTCGTTCTATTCATCCATTTATTCATCATCCAGCCGTTCTTTCTTTCTTCTTATCAATCCATCGCAATATTATCAATCTTACAATTAAACCATACATGTACATGTGGAACTATCATCTAAATCAAATCGCAATAGATATTTCCTCAGACTATTAAATATATCAAGAGGGAAAAAGGAGAGTGGAAACCTACCTGCCTTTTCGTTCGTTCGGTCGGTCGGTACATCGCACGGTCATCATTCATCGTCAGGTACCGCATATTTGACAAGTCAACTCGTACGAATCTTAACACTCTAGAAAGATTTCAACAATACAATACAATACAATTTACAACAGTATCGGTATAGGTATTGTACAAAGCACGAAAGCAACGCCTTCTTACTACTTATCAATTATTACATAGCACAAATCTACCATTTGCGCAAACCTTTCTTATCGTTACGACAACAACCCAGATACACCCACTCCACTCTAATCTTATTTCGATAATCAACCTTCTCACCCGCATCCGCCCCCCTACCACTCACTTTCTTACCCGAACACCACATAATCTTCGAGCGCGTCAACTAACACTACGGTCGCAAAAGTACCCAAGCCTTTCGTGCTCTTCTCACACATTCAATAATTTATTGTTCTGCAGAGCAACAGAGTAACAAATAATCCGATAATTATCAGATTTCGTTTCCGGCGCATTCTCTTTATTTGCGACATTTCATCTCATCTCATCTCGAGTTTCTCCAACCATTACAGACTTCGATAATTTGATCACAAAATCACACCTTAACACGACTCCATCATTAGATAATGCCATGAACGCTCCGGTGTTTGTCCCACAAGGTAAGGCCTTTCGTCAACCTAATGGCGTCCAACAACCGTATCAATCCTTATCAATGGCTACGATGAATGCCTTCGCAGGAGACGCCTCATCACAAAATATCTCACAATCGGCTGGAAACGGTTCGTTTGCATTAGGACCATGTTCCATTTTAATCCGACGTTTACCATTAAATACCACTGAAGATGCACTACGATCAATGGTAGTTTGGTCCAAGGAATTTACTGAAGCCGAAGTATTGTCTCAAGAGAAGTCCGAAGATGCGGGATTCCGATCTGCTATTCTTCACTTCAAGTCCCATGCGGGCGCACTCGAGGCCAAAAACATGCTTGATGGAAAAACAAATATCGCAAACGATGCGAATATGGTGGTGGAAATATTTTATGGAAGTCCCACTGCCTCTCGCCGATATACTGTCGATACGAACGCGCACCCCGGGCCATCTAGCTCCACTTCCTCCACGGCTTCTTCAGCGGGTCCGACCCCTCGACAATCGTCAAGATTTAATGGTTCCTTCACATCTACACAAAGAGTTTCACCTAACCACAATGGAAACTATGCAAGTAATGAATTGCCAAACCCCGAGTCGAGTGTTCACTATCAAAGCTTGTTCTCTCCGCAATCACCCATTGGAAATCATCTTAATGATCGTACGCGCATTACGGGGAAGTCGTTGATTAATAATGATTCTGTCGATGATGATGAGACAGGAGAACTTCTCAAGGACCCAGTGGCTTATGCTGAAAATGGTGCCGCTTCCATCCAAGCTCGACGCCCGACCAATCCTCATATTCCCATCACCGCACGTATGGCAGGCTTATCTCTTACGACCAACAATGCTGCAGGTCCAGCTCATATGTCTTCTTACAACCCACAACAGGCCATGCCATCCATGACACATGCAAACACCATGTCACCAATATCCCTGGGAAATGGCGGTCCTCCTGTAAATTACCAGCTTGGAAGTCAGCACTATCAACGCCACAATTTCCCACCTGTCAATCCTGCTGACCAAAACCCTCCATGCAATACTCTGTACGTTGGTAATCTTCCAATCGATACGTCTGAGGATGAACTTAAAGCTATGTTCTCGAAGCAACGTGGCTATAAGCGCCTTTGTTTCAGGACTAAGCAAAATGGTCCAATGTGTTTCGTGGAATTCGAGGACGTTTCTTTTGCGACAAAAGCTCTTCATGAATTATACGGCCATCCTCTGCATAACAGTATCAAGGGTGGGATTCGCTTGAGCTTCTCAAAGAATCCTCTTGGCGTTCGCTCCGGTCAAGGGATGATATCGCCAGGTCTTGCAAATGTAACAGGTGGCATGCAGGGTATGAATGGCGCTATGATGGGCGGCGCGGGAGGAGCTTTCAGCGCTGCAAATGGTCCTCCTCCAGGTCTTTCTGCACCACCCGGTTTGGGACCAGGCAGAATGGGCTATGCCGGTGTGATGACTTCTGGCGCTATGGGTGGTACTCAGTATGCTGCCGGTACTGCATTTGGAGGATCTAACAACTGGACTGGCCAAGGTTTTACGTCAGCCATGGCTGCCGGTGGCCCAATACCAATGATGAACGGTTCTAATGGTGGATTTCCTCCAGCATATATGATGGGACGATAGACGGTGGGAACAGTTGACATGTGGTGAGAGTTTCGGATGTAACAATGTGGTCTGTCATTTCTGGGAGTTTTACTACGATTCACACTTGACAGCCATCAAGTATGGTATAGTGTATTTATTTTATTTTATCTTGTACTAGGGTTCATCAAAGGGGAGTCGGACGGTGCTGCATCAGGTTGCATTTTGCATTTTTTTTGTAGCGGGGTGTTCACGATCATAAGATTCCCCATACGCGTTGTTGCAATTGTGGGAGTTGCAACAAAAGCTGGCAAGGAGAGGGTGGCATTTGGCAAGGTGTTTTTGATGGACTTTCTTTATGGACCCCTGGTGTTTTTGCGACTTAAATGGCGCAAGCTGGCTGACCTGCAAGAGTTCATGCTATTAAGGTATGATTTGAGTACTTCTACAATTAGTCTGGGTAAACGGGATGGATCACATGCATAGCACGTAAAAGAGGGGGTGGAAAAGGCGTCGGAACATTTCATCACTCATCTGGGCATCTACATGAAAGGGAATCACTGTGTAATGGATGGCATATCAGATTCAAGGCGATATGTTTAGCTCGGCATATACTCGCAACGATGGGCGTTTCTGGCATTCAAGGAGTGAAATTTGTTGCTGTTTCTTTAGATTTCCGTTACGAAGAGCAATACAATACTTACGTACTTGTCAGTGTACGGTTTGCTTTTGAAACGGGTTTTTGGTTTAGGAAAATATTGCACATCTTATGATGATTATGATATCTTTGACCCTTTTTATGTGAATTAAATACATCGTTGGAAGTTTAGGACGAGAGTACTGAATAATCTGAGGATGACAAATAGCTTCGGACTTGGAGCCAGGGTGCATAGCAAATACATTCATTTCTGCTCACGTGATACCATGGAACCTACCGGCGCTAATAGGCTCTCGCTTAACTTTTTTCCTGTGCTCAAGCTCTTCTTTTCATTCAAAAACTGAATTTTCTTCTTTAATTCACAAACATGCAACACATTGGTCCTCTATCACAACAACATGCTTTGTGCGATGGAGGACCCTTCAATTCAATGGTAAGCTTTCTCATTTCCTCTTCTTTCTGCAATCTTCTATGATGAACATCGTGTCGCCCCTATCTTACCAATGAGCTATGCTCCCGTGGTGATTAACCTGTCTAAACCAAACGGACTTTCTGATATCTCTTGCAACCATCTTCTTATTCTTGAAACTTTTTGAGAATACTCGATGCTAATTATTTGCAGATTTAGGACCATGTCAATTTCTATGCGATCGCACAACTGGCTCACTGTCGTTTGTTCGCTGGTGCGCCAATGTCGATCTTAGTTGCGCCATCCGCAGGTTCTCTTTAGCTACACAATTTTCACCCACTCTCCTTGAGATGATATATCAACTGTATGTTACACCATTTTCTTCTCTTCAACACTGGGTTCAACCAAGGTAAAGTGATGACAAAACAAGTACTATCAAATACGGATTTACAATGACGAATAAACTGGTTCGATTACCTGAAACTATTTTGGTTGAACCCTTCAAGATGCGATGGCACAATTCCTGGAATATTATACTAATATTGGAATTTACAGAACTTTAGCACGACCTACACAGCATTTTACAACAACATACTGCAAAGGTAATTACTTTCTATTTTCTTTGATCGAAATGGATAATTATCCATTTGTCGATGATGCAAAAAACATTCCATGCTAAATCCGATAGACCTTGTGTCTAATGCGGAAAACAACGTAGACTTTTCATCTTTCACCTGAGGCACTCTTGTTATCAGCATATTATCTGTCATTCAACATGCAAACCATATGCTAATACATTCAATAGTGTTTACAGTTATCCAATTGATGTCATGCGACCTTGTCTCAAATCATGCATGCGGGCGACTCAATAATAAACTATTGGTCGGAAAGGTGTGAGGATTCGCAAGCTCAAGTACAGAGTTCAAGTGAACGTTAGTGACCTTCGAGTGAGGTTTACTTCGGCAGCTTATGTCACGTCTTGACAGTGAGCTCCGCCGTGGAGGAGAGAGAGTGCATTACATGGTGGCATTGCATTTAGTTTAATCAATAATAATCGAATTATTCTCCAAAGCTTGATACTTTTGTTTCTTGTGAATCCTTAACTACTGCCGTCAATGTGAAAAGTAACATACATATCTACCTTGGCATTCACTTCACTTGATCCCATCTCATCCAACTTCCAAGACTATAACCCACACCTGACCATCAACATGGTTGGCTTCTGGCAGCTTTACCAAAGTCATGTTACTCGCTCCAATTCAAGCCACAGAAATACTTCTACAATACCGGTACTAGAAATCTGAGCTCTTTCACCACACCCCCAAGATTATCCCTGCTATACCTGAACTTCCAATTCTTCTGCAACGATCTAATCCAATCCAATCCATCATCACCGATCTCCTGTCTGCCCCTCAAGGTCGCATTGATGTTGGTGTTGATGCTGGCGTTTTCGTCTCATACATGTTGTGTCATATTACGATATTTATATTGTGTTGTGTTGTATTGTATTGCATTGCATTGTATTGTATTATGTTGTCAATGGATGGATAGGTAAGGTAGGTAGGGGGGGGGTAGGTGAATGAATGAATAATTTGAGGTGAGGGATTGAGAAAGGGGAAGAGGATTTTAAGAAGGTAAGAGGTGAAGAAGTTGAGAGAGGGAGAGAGGGAAAGAGGGAGAGAGGGATTTTAAGAAGGTGAGAGGTAAAGAAGTTGAGAGAGTGAGAGAGGGAGAGGAGGAGTGATGTTGAGAAGATGATGGGGAATGGGGGAAGGGAAAGGTGATGGAGGAATGGGAAAGGGGTTCGAGGAAGGTGACGAGGAAGGGGGTTTGAGGGAGAGAGGGAGAGGGAGAGGGAGAGGGAGATTAGGATTGGTATTGGCATTGGGGAGAGAAGGAGTACAATACAAGTGAGCGAGGAAACACGATTGAAATACTATGGTATAGTAAGCTAGGGAGTGTGTGCGGGGAGCTGCTGATCAGGAGAGAGAGAGAGAGAGAGAGAGAGAAGCTTGTGATTTGTATATACGCAGCTAGCTAGCTATGTTATTCCATGCCATAATTACATCATATTATCAGAGCATCAGAGCATCAGAGTAGAGATACATACTCGAGTACATACCTCCACCCACCTACCTACCTATAAAACGTTCATATATCCTTTGCGATACACCATACCAAACCATACCATACCATAACAATCCCCCCAAATCCTGCCTGATCTACCGGTATACATGATCGAGTACAAGCGGGTGGGTATAGATGCTCTCTGAGTATACTCGCATAGTAGTCCTAACCTAAATACAGTAATAGTATAACTAACATAGCAGAACGCAACGAACAAAACGTTTCATTATCGTATTACAGTACTCGAGTATTATAAAAATTCTCTATCGGTTGTACATTAACTAGTTTATATATATATATATATCATACAGTACATATTCCCAAACTCTCTCGTCTCAAATTTCCTTTTTTGCTCTCGCTACTCTGCTTTACTCTGCTTTGCATAGTTGGATAGGTAGATAGATGTAGGTACGTATCCATCGATTCTTATGTCCTTCTTTCCTTCTTTCCATTCATCCATCCGTTCCAATTTCCTTCCAATCTTGTTTATCCCAGATTAGACCTGACGCCTTCCAAGTTTTTGATTCCACTAGAAAGTGTGGATATATATATATGATTAAAGTTTCCATCTCGTTTCACTCTTTCCTTCTACTGCCGTACGATATTATTCAGAAAGAAAGAAACACCGACCTCTCTTTGGTCAAATCCCAATCCTAATCCTAATCCTGACTTGTACTAAAATAATACTCATCCCACAACCATAAATAATCCTCCACCACACCCCCCACCAAACTCGGCAGTCTGTTACTCGTTCTATGCAACCAGCCCTTCGTAACATTTTCATAAAACGCGCCTCGCAATGCCCACCATCCCATTGCCCAACCCCTCTTATTCCACTGTTCTTTTTCGAGGGGCGTGGTCCTGTAGTTCTCAGAGCGGAGTTGGCGCGCCGCATATTCGATGCTGAGGCCGATGGCCCATGGTTTCCAGGACTTGGGGTTCTGGCGGTAGTGCGAGAGGGCAATGGCGTAGATGACGGGTTGGAGAATGTGCATGTATTCGGCGTATTGGGATGGGAGGGTAAGGGGGTTGAGGAGGGAGATGGGCGCTTTGATGTCGTCAGCGACGAGCACTTTGGAGAGGAGATAGTTGGAGATATCGCTGGAATTGGGGAGCGTTGGTAACGTGAGGCCTGTTCTTTTTAATTTATATTCTTTTCCCTCGCGGTTCTTGCGGCGTTTATCCTCTTCTCGCATGGTTGGTATATCGTCCGTGTCGAGCCAAGGGGGGATTTCCTCGTTTTCCGTAAGTGATTCTTCGGGTATGATATCGCGTTCTGGAAGGGGTGGTGTAACGAGTGGTCGTCCTTTGGTGATTCTCAGAAGAAACAATTTACAAATTGCCTTGATGAGTTCTAGAAAAACTACCACCCTCCACTTGATTTTCTCTCCCTTTCTCTTCGCCATCATCTCCCATAATAGCTCGGTATACTGTATCATACTCAGTAACATGGCGATACGTCTATACATCCGATTACCCTTGACCCAATACTTGGTATATCGATTATGCGCATTTTGTCTGGGCATTCCCGGGAGTTTGGCGAGAGCGCGCGAGAGAAGTGTATCATGGTAGAGGGAAAGTAGTTGGATGGAAGAATGTATCGATTCAGATGCGAGTTCGGCATCGCGAAAGCGACCGGGAATTATATATGTGAGAGAGCGTAGGGCTGATTCGATTTGGGTAACGGAAGATTGGTTTTTGAGAATGAAGTCGGAGTAAAGGTGTAGCGCGTTGGGGATTTTGTCTCGCACGCTTTTTAGGGAGTCCATGATGAGGATACACTCATAAGATACGTTGATGGTTGTAGGTGTAGAGATATTATGGAGAGTTGTAAAGATGAGATGCGGTTGTGGGTTGTGGATGACGGCCTGGATTTGGATATGGAGTAGCTAAGGGGGACTGGACCTGGCTCATCTCATTTCGATTCTCAGCCTCGGCGGCTCGGCCCCAGATTGGACACGCACGTGAATTTGAATGGTGGGTCGGCGATAAGCTAGTGTCCGGATTGCGTTCATTTTATCCCTGTTCATCAAAAAAGATAAGGCGAGGCGAGGCGCAAGTGTACTCGAGTAACTTTTGAGCTGCCAGATATGGTTCAATTTCCTCATACATTTTCTTCTTCGTCTTCTCTTATAAAAACCTAAACAATACATCATGCCCAAACGTCGAAGATCAAGTACATACCAAAACGATCTACCAATAGCGAAGAAACATTGCCTTCCACCAAACAAATGCGATCACATCTCTCATCTTTCTTCCGAGCTCCTCATCCGCATCCTTCATAACCTGCCAATTGAAACTCTCCTATCCTGTCACTCCGTCTCTCGGCATTTCTATACCCTCTCTCATGATTCCCAAGTTTGGAAATCATTATATTATTCTCGATTCGTATTACCGCGCGCATTGCGCATACCGGGGATCAAGAACAAAGAGAAGTTGGATAATGGGAAAGGTGCTGCAGGACAGAGGGAGGAAAGAAATGGAAAGGCAGACGGGGATAGATTTCAATTCAGTTCGAGGAGGAGTAGATGGTTGGATGAGGAGGGATTGAGGAGTAGAGGGAATGGGAGAGAAACTAATTGGAAGAGACAGTATAAACTGAGACATAATTGGGCGAGGGGCGCTTGTGAGGTGAAAGAGATTGACATTGCAGAGAAGGGGAGTGTGCCGGGCATGTTTGTGAGGCTGGCGGGGGGAGTGGTGATTACGGTTGGTGAGGTGGAGGGATTAAAAGCTTGGGATCTCAAGGGGAGGGAACTGATTACAATATGTAAATTGGAGGAGGGGGTTGTACCAACATGTTTTGCTGTTGATGAACAGGATGGGGAAGAGGGAAGATTAGGTATCGTGTTAGGATTTGAAGATGGAGGCTGGGGAACCTGGGAGCTCAATGTGGGAGAGAAGATATTTGTGAGGCAATACAGACATCCGCCGAGCAGCAACGGAATGTTAAGTGGGGTGGCTTACGCATATCCGTACATACTGAGCATTACGAAAGGACAGCTCCTTTCATTCTATACACTCAATCCTGTCGGACCGATACGAGAGTCCGACGATGATGGTAATACCACCGATATACAAAAGAAAGAATCACAACCACGTCCATATCTCCTGACATCCCTCCAATCGCATTCATCATGGCCACCATTATCCCTCTCTATCCGTCTCACTCCCACCACTATCATCGCCTCTATAGCATACACACTCCCCACCTACTTAAGCGGCTACACCATCTCAATCCAAGAACTCCACTTCAGCCTCTCCACCTCCACCTCCCCTTCTCCATCTCCACCCACCTTAACAGCCTCCCGCCTCACCTCCTCCTTCCCCTCCGGTTTCCACCCACTAACCTCCACAACCAACCCTCCAACCTCTCTACCCCGCCCAACAACCCTCTCCTACGCACATCCCTATATCCTCGCCACGCACCCCGATAACACACTCTCCCTCTACCTCTGCACCAGTACCCGTACCTCTCTTACTTTATCTCCACCCCAGAAATTATTCGGTCATACGAGTTCGATTAGTTTCGCTAGTATTACTAGTAGGGGGAAGGCAGTAAGTGTTAGTGAGAGGGGAGGTGAATTGAGGGTTTGGGAGTTGGAACCTGGGGTGAGGGGAAGCAAGGTGGAGGAGAGGAGTGTGAGGGTTTGGGGGGGAGGGGTTGAAACGGAGAGGAACTGTGAGGGGAATAGGAATAGGAGGAGAGGGGATAAGGAAATGGGGGCGAAGGGAATTGGGAATGGGAATGATAGTGAGAGGTCTGCGGTAGAGAATAAAAATGGGGATGAGGACGATGACAAGGATGAGAATGAGGATAAGGATGAGGGAAAAAAACTCTGGGTAGGTTTTGATGAGGAAATGGTAATAGTGCTTAAATCGAACGTAGAAGATTCAGAGTGTGAGTGTGAAGAAGAAGAAGAAGAAGATGATGATGATGATGAGAGAGAAGGGAATGTACTGAGTGAGCATAATGATGAGGATGAGGATGAGATGGCGATGGGAGGGGGTAATAGAAATGGAAATGGCACTGAGAGTATACAGCAGAGATTAGTTATTTATGATTTCACCTGAGTTTGTATATATAATATGTATAATACATACATATACATACTCGAGTATATCATATCAATACATATAGTATTTTGAATTAGATATATACTCAGTAGTATTCCTCACTCATCGCCATAAACTCGACCCCTTTGGTATACTATACATGTTCTCTACATAAACAAAACTCTCTCTCCCCTTTCCCCCATCCCCTTTCCCCCATCCCCTTTCTCCTTCCCCTATCCCCTTTTCCATAT